ATCTGAGCTTACGGGGACATTCTCATTCAAATAACCAGGCCTATTTTTTAAAAATTGATTTAAAAAAACTGTAGACAGTAAGTAGATATGGCCTGAGTGAGGTGATACAGTGTCAGCGAGATGTAGAGAGACCTCAGGTAACTAGAAAATGGTATTCTCAAACTTCTTGGAATGCTGAATATAATATTTAATTCTTAATACTATTTTCTGAATTCAAGATTTAGGAAATGCTTCAAGAATTACTTTTAGAAAAAAGTAGCACGTCTTTTTTCTTTTAAGTAGATTGTAATGAAATAAATTGCATGTCTCATTTTATAAGATTAGTAATTTACAGACATTGTGTTCTAAAATTTATTGGTTGTTTTTGTAGTCTTTAGACTATCAAAGTATGTACTGATATGCTTATTTTAACTGAAAAATTAAGTCAGAGCTTTTTGACAGTTTTATTTAGGTGATGTTTTTTGCCAGTTAGATTATAACAATATTTTTTCTATATATTTTTTAATTTTAGAAACTTTATTATGAAAACCTTGGAAACAAATAAAAACATCACACACCAAAATTAAGTAGATCAAAAGTTTATATAACATAGTGAACTTCTGTAGTTGGAATAGGCATTTGGAATGTGGAGCTTTACATTTTACACTTTCAATATCAATGTACTTTTTTATTTATGTACTTTTCTGCCACCAAACCCAGAAAATCCAGGACAGAATTAGAACTAGAAAAACAAGTAGCTTTATATCTTCTGTCATAACTTGTATCCATAAGTGGAAAATGTGCTTTCTTTTCTATAAATGGATACTTTCTTTAAAATCCACGACTTAGGCTCTGGAGGAATGGCTTAGAGGTTAAGTACACTTACTTTAACTCTTGTAGAGGTTCAGAACCACCTGTAACTAATTCCGGGGATCCAGTAACCTCTTCTTGTCTCTGTCGGCTCCCAAATGCATGTACACACAGACAATCAGGAGCCATGCACACACACATACATTAAAACAGAATCAAAATTATGTCATAAGTTAATGGTATTGCTAATTACTCTCCGAAACTATTAATTCTAAATAGAAGTTGGTAAATGAACTTATTTCAGCGTGTATCATTAAACTGTACAATGGTTTGGATAGAGGACTCAGCAGTTAGGAGCATTGCTCTTGCAGAGATCTCAGGTTTGAATCCCAGCCCTTACAGGATAGCTCACAACCATCCATAACTCCAGTTTCAGAGACTCTGATGTTTTCTTCTGACCTCTACAGGTACCGGGCACACACGTAGTACATAGACACACATAAAAGCCAAGTACTTATATACAAAAAATGTTTTAAAAAAACTACAAGGATAGATTTCTTTGACTTCAGATCACCATGGCAATTTGGAATGTGCTCTATGTATATTTAATTGTGCTGCAAATTTAAATATCATGATAATATGCAGTTATTGATTGACTTACATATTCTTTCAAGAGGCCAAGATACTATTTTTAAGGTTGGAGAGTATGGCTTGTAAGGAAGGTATAGGTACATATTTTCAAGGCCGCAGGCTGTGTATGTTCTTCTAGCCAGGGACATTTTTCCTTTGATTAGATCTAGTTGTCTGGTTCATAGCCTTAAGCATTATTATTATAAAATCTTATAAAGGGTTTTCCAGTTTTATACTTGAAATAGGAGTCTGTTGAAGCTTAATTTAATGAGAAGCAGATTAAAATTTTACAGTAGTATTTTTTTTTAAGTTCATAATTTAACCACGAAAATCATAAGATTTGACATTACTATCTTACTGTCAGACCTCATTCGGGTTTTGTCACTTGTCTCAGTGATGTCCTTTGTAGCAAAAATTTAAGTTCAGAACTATACATCATATTTAGTTGACATGTTTCTTTAGTCTCCTTTTTAGTTTAGAATAGTTCTTCATCTTCCCCTGACTTTAAATATTATAGGCCAATTATTTAATAGAATGAACTTTAATTTGGGTTGTCTGGTATGTTTTCATGATTAGATTCAGATTTTATATCTGATAAGTCTGTTCTTTTCATTGCATTTTATCAGGTGGTATATCCTTTGCTCTTTTACTGACATTATTCACTGGTCACTTAAAGCGTTGTCTGTCAGGTTTTCCGTATTAATTTTTAAAGCGTTGTCTGTCAGGTTTTCCGTATTAATTTTTTGTTGCCGTTGTAACAAATCATTACATAGATTTATTTTCGTAGAGTTTTGGATGATAGAAGTATAAATGGGTTTTACTAGACAGTAATGATGTTGCTAGGGCTTTTTCCTTCTGGACACCTTGAAGTAGAACTCACTGAGCTGACCTGAGCAGAAGTTTCCAGCTTCTAGAGACAGTCTATATTCTTTGACTTGTGGCCCCTTATTCATCTTCAAAGGAGCATCAGTCTAACCTTTGATCCCAATATGTTATCACTTCCTGTCTTAGCTCTCTTATCTCTCTCTCTCTCTGAGAAGCACTCCTTGATTATATTGGACCTACTAGGCTATAGGCTAACCTCCCCATTTCAAGATCCTTAATTTACTTATTTGAAAGTTTGTTTGACATTTAAGATGGTTCCTTGCATGAGGATGTGGCCATCCTGGGAGACTTGCTTCCGCATTGGAAAGTCATTCTTTTCTTCTGTGATAATTAATATTTTTCAGAAAGGTACAAGGATTTCTGGTTTCTGGGCTCTGAGATGTCTGACTCCTATTATTTAGAAGCCAAAATCTGTATAGCATGCTCACTGCTATTGGGATTTCGCTGTCTTACTTAGTACACAGAGGTAGGGAATATGTAGGAATTTGTAGGGAAAACAGTGCCCATACTCTATTTATTTATTTAGTTTTTTTTTTTTTTCCGAGACAGGGTTTCTCTGTGGCTTTGGAGCCTGTCCCGGAACTAGCTCTTGTAGACCAGGCTGGCCTCGAACTCACAGAGATCTCCCTGCCTCTGCCTCCCGAGTGCTGGGATTAAAGGCGTGCACCACCACCGCCTGGCTGTTTGTTTAGTTTTTTGAAGCAGGGTTTCTTTGTGTAGTCTTGGCCGGCCTGGAACTAGTTTAGCTCTGTCAACCAGGCTGGCCTTGAACTCACAGAGATCCACCTGCCTCTGCCTCTCGGGTGCCGGAATTAAAGGCGTGTACCACCACACCCAGGTTTTTATTTTTATATTAATTCATATTGTTGCTTTCACTTCACTTCCAGACTAATCGTCCAGGTTTAGTCTTCTGTCTTTTTATATCTGTCACTATCTTCTTGGACAGGAAAAAGTACATTTTAGTGTTTTGATAAATTAACTTTTTTGATTAGTCTACCGGCATATATAAAACTCCTTTGTTACTGCTACTTCTCCTACCTGGATCTGTCTTCATTACATTGATATCTCTGGCAGGCAATATGTGAGTGCCTTTGTCACAGTCACAGTGTACTAATAGGGCAGTTGGACCTACCTGGTGGGTTTGTTTCTTTAATTTTAATTTGTTGTTTAAGGGTGGTGTTTTTATTTGTTTGAGACAGAGTTTCTCTAATACAGCCCTGGCTGCCCAGGTCGATGGCCTTGAACTCACAGAGATCTGCCAGCCTTGCCTCTCTCCCCGTCCCAACGACACTACTAATCACTTGTAAGGGGGTTTGCCTGTATCTGTGTCTTGTGAGCCATGTGTGGGCAGTGCCTGCAGATGACTGAAGGTGTTACCTTCCTTGGGACTAGTTGTAAGCTGCTCTGTGGGTGCTGGGAATTGAAACTGAGCCCTCTGGAAGAGCAGCCAGTACTCTTAACTGCTGAGCCATCTCTCCAGCTTCTCTATATGGTATTTAAGAAATCCAAAATAGATGAAATATGTGCATACATATTCATGCCTTGCATGCATATAGAAGTCAGGGGAACCTACAGGAGTTAGTTCTCTTCTTCCACCATACGTGTCCCAGGGATAGAACCCAGGATGTCAGGCTTGCACTGAGCACCTTGTTGGCCCTGGGTACCAAATTGTTTTACTTACCCGGTATCTCATGTAAGGATTTTAGTTTTGTGTATTTTTTTTCTAAAATCCAGTATCAAAACAACAATAGAATTAGCCCAGCTTGACTCAGGTTACATGATCCCAACTTTATTGGGAACAGTAGCTAGGAGCTATGGAATTGTTGAGCGTGTCTTTTTTTTCTCATAAGGACGGTTTGGTATACTGACATTAACTACACTGCAATCATAGAACTGCTTCACAGCCCATTTGAACTTGACAGCCACGATCTTAACTGCGAAGCCATCTCTCCAGCCCCTTAAGTATGTATTTTAAATCTAGGGAGGAGTTATTGAAACCAAATGATTATGCCAAGTTCAGTAAAACAGTACATGACATTTTAGGTTTGGTTAAAATTTTTAATTGAATTGTAGCTTTTTATAGTGTCCAAAATAATTTTTGTCATATTCTTGCATAAAATCTATCTTAAGTTCTTACAGATTTATATCCACTTTTCCAATTTAGCATAAAATAATTAAAATTTGTGATAAATGAATTTTACTGTCCACTCTTTTTTCAACTGTCAGTTGCTTTTTATGTTAAAACTACAAATTCTGTTAGTGTTACATCTTCAGTAAATACAACCCTGTTGGTTAGAATATATCTGACTAGGTAATTATTTCCATACTTGAATGTAGTTTCTCCTTGGTTACTAAATAAACCATATTCAAATTATATTATACTTTTTGTTCTATACAAAAAAAGAATAGGAGAGAAATGCTTAGACAATTGATCATAGTTGACTCAAGTTAGTTTCTAAATTTTTGGAAAGTTTCATATGAAAAATACTTGCTTCTTATTAGTTAAACTTTTTTTTCGATATCATTTGTTGTGATAGACAGCTTAGCATAGTTTGAGTTTTTGTAAGGATTATATAAATGGGCAAGATTTTATGTTTCAGCAAAATGTTAGGATAGTAATAAGGTTAATATGATATTTACTCTGGTTTGGATTTCATTGTAAAAACTAATTAACTTGTTTTTACTTTTCTTGACAGAACAAATTCGATTAAAGAATATCAGAAAAGTCTATGGAAGATGTATGTGGTATCGTTTACGGTTATTAAAACCCCAGCCAAATATTATTCCTACAGTAAAGTAAGTAATGGGCTTCAATAACAAAACATACTGAGTACTTGTTCTTTGCTAGGTGTTATGAGTTAGGGAATCTGAGGATAGCTTACATGTGTGACTGTAAAGAAGTTGTAGCCTGTGAGAGGGGTGAGGTTTTGTTACAGTAAGCTTTAGAGTTGTGAACAAGTTAAAGCTCAAAATGAGAAGGGTTTGAGAGTCAGCTCTTGTTTCAAGACTGTATATATTATGTGCTAGGACTGGAGTTTTAGGTTGAAGTCTATATGAAAATCAAAGATTTCAAAGACTGACAAGATCAAGTGTGAATTTCAAGGTGCTAACTAAAGTTGTCTCATGCTTAATATGTTTGATTCTGTGGTAACTCAAGGTGTTTATGGTTTTCCTTAAGCTAAGGCTAAGAAGTAAATTGATTTGGCCAGAATTATGCAGTGAATGTGGTGGACAAGACCATATCACCTTAGTTTTGGCAGGCTCATCTGCTTAGACAATCCACTAGCAAGGATTTGATTCTGTGAGGCTAAAGGGTGTGCTTTACACTGAATTAATGTCAAGTCTTTATTTAACTCAGTCACTAGATTATCTGTGATGGGAGCTGAAGGTTGTTACTGCAGAAAAGTAAATTACCCACATCTACCTGCTGTAGAAAGAAAAAAATCTGATAGAGGATTAAGTGTTGAACCAGTTATTTTAAATCTGGGTTTAAATGATGAGACTAGTTTTAAACATAGATGTGTAACTTCAGAGGACTGAAATAAGATGTTTAAGAGGGAAAGGACTGTTTTTTGCATAGAGAGGGAATCTTAGCTTTGGTGGTAATGCTCAGTGGTAAGAAGCTAGATGCAGAGTTAGCACTGAGACCAATATAGCTCTCTTTTCTCTTTATTTGCTGTCTATTCTCATTTTAAATTAAAAATTTATAAACCCTCCCCCCTCTCCATCTCTTTTTTTTGAGACAGGTTCTCACTATGTAGCCCTGGCTGGACTGAAACTAGCTATGCAGATCAGGCTGGCCTTGAACTCGCAGGCATCCATCTGCCTCTGTCTTCTGAGCTTCTGAGGATTAAAAGTTTGAACTGCTATTCCCAGTTTTATGCCAATAATTCTTTTTTTTTTAAATTGAGAAAAGAAGAAAAAAAACATAAACAAAAAACAAGTTTCCCCCTCCTCCCAGCCTCCCATTTCCCTCCCCCTCCTCCCACCCTTCTCCCCCTCCCCCCACTCCTCTCCCCCTCCCTCTCCAGTTCACAGAGCAGTCCGGGTTCCCTGCCCTGTGGTAAGTCCTAGGTCCTCCCCCTCCGTCCATATCTAGGAAGGTGAACATCCAAACTGGCTAGGCTCCCACAAAGCCAGCACATTAAGTAGGATCAAAACCCCCTGCCATTGTCCTTGGCGTCTCATCAGCCCTCATTGTTCGCCATGTTCAGAGAGTCCGGTTTTATCCCATGCTTTTTCGGTCACAGTCCAGCTGGCCTTGGTGAGCTCCCCAGTAGATCGGCTCCACTGTCTTAGTGCGTGGGTGCACGCCTCGTGGTCCCGACTTCTTTGCTCATGTTCTCCCTCCTTCTGCTCCTCCTTGGGACCTTGGGAGCTCAGTCCAGTGCTCCTGTGTGGGTCTCTGTCTCTATCTCTATCCATCACCAGATGAAGGTTCTATGATGATATGCAAGATATTCGTCAGTATTGCTCTAGGATAGGGTCATTTCAGGTTCCCAATCCTCAGCTGCCCAAGGAACTAACTGGGAACCTCATCTTGGGCACTTGGGAACCCCTCTAGGGTCAAGTCTCTTGCCCACCCTAAAGTGGCTCCCTTAACTAAGAATTGTGGTTCTGTGCTCCCCTATCCACCTTTCCTTTATCCCAATTCTCCTGTTTCCCCAAGTCCCCCCTCCTTCCCTTCTACCTTTTCTCTCCCCATCTCCCCTTACCCCCATCCCACCCCACCCCCAAGATCCCAATTTTCTCCCCGGCAATTTGGTTTACTTCCCTTAGCCAAGAGGATAACTATATGCTTTTCCTTGGGTTCACCTTCTTACTTAGCTTCTTTAGGTTCACCTATTGTAGACTCAGTGGTCCTTATTTATGGCTAGAAACCAATTATGAGCGAGTACATCCCATGTTCATCTTTTTGGGTCTGGGACACCTCACTCAGGATAGTGTTTTCTATTTCCATCCATTTTATGCCAATAATTCTTAAGTCTCAAGCCCCCACCTCATTTTTGCTCAATATTTCGGGTACCTGGATCTCCATTTTTTCCTTCTAATTTATCTATTGTGTGTGTATGATGTGATGTGGGCATACATGTGCCATTGCACACTACATCAGTGTGGAGGACAGAGGATAGCTTTGTGGATTGATTCTTTTCTTCAATACCTTATGAGGGCTCTAGGAATTGAACTTGGGCCATCAGGGTTGTGAAACAGGCTTGTGACAGGTAAGCCATTCTGTCAGCCTTGAACCTAGTTTTCAAGGAAGTTGAAGGCCTTTTTGGTAATAAATAAATGATTTATTTAATTCATAATGAAGCTCAAATAATGACTAAATAGATTTTGGTAACAGTTCAGAGAAAGTTTAGAAATTATAAAAACTCTTGCTACTTTATACAACCTAAATACTTCCTGACGGTATTTCTGAATCTAAGCTATGTAATTTCTGGAAGTAGCTTCCAAATGACATTGAAAATATACTTAAAAGAAAAAAATGCAGAATACTTTCTAAGTTAAATTACTGAGTCTGCATGTGAGAAAATGTTTGACTTTTTGGAGGGTTTCTTTTAGAAAATTGGACATAAAGCATAATCATGTGTATCCTCTACCCCCAGCCCCTTTTGCTTTGGCTCTCTGGAAATGAGTGTGGTTTTATTGTTTGGAATAGTTTTCATCAGCATGGGGGATCCTGTCATGAGCCTTCTCTTCTCTTCTTGGCTCTGAGAACAGATGCGACGTGTGAAGCATCTAATAGAGTTTAGCATATCTGGGATATTTTCTTCTTTTCCTTGTGTTTGCTTTTCCTTCGTGATTTTTCATTCTTATCTCTGTTTTATGAGTTTTGTTAGACTTTTAGATTTCATCAAAGCGAAGAGTTATTGTGTGTGAATAGCATTTTCAAATGTTCTTAGACTATTGAGAGTATTAACAAACTTTAGTTTTATGTTTAAAATTTCCTCCTTTTAATTTCAGATATAATTATGTACTTATTATAAGTCATGTATAGAAGGTGCTAGATACACAGTGATTAACAATCTATATAGTTCAAAGTTATGAACTGTAGGAGAGAGTGCCAAATAACAATTATAATAAATTTAGTATATAATGTTAGTTCATTTCTTTCTTTGTTATTGTAATAACATACTTGAGTTTGGGTACTTTATAAAGAAACAAGGTTTATTTAGCTTATTTTAGTTTTAGAGGCTGAAAGTCCAAGGTCTGTCAGCCCCATTCATTTGTGACCTTTGGAATAACATTAGAACTTGGTAGATGGCATCATGGCAGGAGGGTACATATACATATATGACAGATACACATATGTATCTGTATCCATACACACACACACACACACACACACACACACACACACACACACACACAGAGAGAGAGAGAGAGAGAGAGAGAGAGAGAGAAAGAGAGGAGAGAGATATGGATACAGATACAGATGATACAGATACATATGAGGGTCCAGAAGAGGTGTCAAATCCTCTGTAACTAGTTACAGGAGTTGTGAGCCATCTGATGTGGGTGCTGGGAACCCAACTTTGTCCTCTGCAAGAGCAAACCACTGAGCCATCTCTCTAGCCCCCCAGACCTCATCTCTTAAAGAAAGATCTACTACATGTTTTTGGGTATGGTGTGCATGTGTATTCAAATGTGAGTGCTGCATGTCTTCAGGTAAACATGTATGTGTTTATGTTGGAAGGCAGAGGTTGATATCTGGTGTCTTTCTTGAATATTTTCTAGTTTATTTACTGAGGTATAAGGTGTTCTAGTTTTATTTCTGTTGCTAGTCATGGTCAAGGACAGGGACTATATTCTGAGAGATACCTATTCTGCCTTCTTCCTGCTAGTTAGCTTTAATCTAGATTTCTTCTATCTTTATGTAGCTCAGGACTTTTCAAGGAATGATGCTACTCACAGTGAGTGGACTAGGTCTTCCTGCATCAGTTAACAATCAAGATGATTCCCAGATGTAGCCGTAGGCCAATCTGATCCTGGCAGTCCCTCAATTAAGGTTATTTTTTTTTTTTCCAGGTGATCTAGACTGTGGCAAGTTGATATTTAAAACTATTGTACAGGGTTCTTGCTAAACCTGGAGTTTGCCCAGCTAGTCTGTCTAGCCTGTTTACACCAGGGATCCCATCTCTGCCACTCAAGCACTAGGATTTCATGGGCAGTCACACCTGCCTGGCTTTTATGTGAGTGCTAGAGATATGAATTCTGGTTCTCAGGCTGTCTCCTGGTTCTACCAATTTTTGTACTCTGTACTGCTAAACCAAGCAGTAAGGACAGGGAGAAGACTTGTTTTGGAAGAACAACAGAAGGGCTCTCACTTGGCCTAAGACAGAGAAGACTTTTTGAGTTGGTTGTGGGTGGGTTTTTGAAGGCAGCAGTCACAAAATAATCCCACACTAGTTCAGAATTATAAATAATAAAGGGTTAATTATTTCGGAAAAATTTACAGATCACTGTCCTAGACAACAGTCCTCTGAACAAACAGGAACACAGTCTAGCAGCTGGAAGCAAGAGCCGGAAGCAAAAGAGAGAGCTCGCATGCTTTACAGCTGCTTTTACAGTATAAGAGACCACACCCAAGTGGGCTGGTATCTTAAATTCTATTGGCTGAAGGAACAGAATATGCTCCCATGGCACCTCCCCTTTTTGTTTAAATAAGGAAGTTCCAAACCCAATACAAAACTATATACACTAGGAACAGATATCAATTATAATTAGTATTACAACCAACATAAACAGTATTAAGCAAGGAACATAAGCTAAATGTTTTAATAAGCATTCTATCCTAAGGAATCTAAGTCTTGTATAGGAAATGGCTTGGATAGATCATAAGAGAACAGTAACTACAACTATCTAATCTTCAACTCCATCGAAGGCCTGAGAAGGGAGATAATTACTTGAGCAGGCAGGAAATACAATCAAGCAGCTTTCAAAGCAAGCAATATATGATGGAGACAATTAGCTACCTGAGCAATCACCCAAAATCTCGTTTGTAACGTTGTAGTAACCAACTTTGGCTATGGCCTAGCGTAACTGAGAGACCATTTTCAGAGGAAGCAAATTATTCAGAACTGTCTTACCATGTCTTCGCAAGATTTGACAGTCTTTTTCCTTGTGTTCTGCTTATTCATTTCTAGATACCATGTACTTTGTCAGTGGTTGAGGTATGGCCAATTCCTTGCCCAAAGGCCAAATGTGCCAAGAAGAAAACAAACTCCAAGTGGAGTGTCTTTGGACTCACATTCTCTCTGGAATAGATTGGTGCTGTCAGGAGCAGTCATGTCTCATGTCAGCAGAACCCTAAGTTATTTAAATGCCATGTTCTATAGATCCTTGAAGTGGTTGAAGATTACCTGCCTAGACAGACTATAATCTCTATGTATCTAAGAACCTAATTGATCTGACTGTAAATACAACAAACATGAACAACTATTGACCTATAATATTAATACCTGTATAACTTAAAAGACTAAAACTTCATGTCAGAATATTAAGTAATCTATAAATAAATGTGCAACAAATGAGGACAATGACCAAAATGTAAACAATGTATAAGTATCTTGATCAGAGTTAGGAGTAATATATAATGCAATATGAAAATAGATCCTAAAAGTTGTATCAATATACAGAATGTCTTCAACAGAGGTAGAAACATGCATATATACAATCTGACAGAAATACTTTGCATAGGTATACAAATAATGTAAACAAAAGTAACAAATATAATTTGAACTTATATCAATATACAAAAACTATACCAATGTAAATTATCCATAAATAATAGCTCACAAATATTCACTCTATTGTTTTTGTTTTTTGTAGTAGTGGAGTTGAATCTTGTAAATGCTAGTTCAGTATTCTACTGTGGCTCTATATCCCTAGCCTCTAAGACTTGGGGAAGAGTTACTATTAGTAGGCCATAACTACCATTAATTGATTATGTTTACTACATGTGAGTTACTTCCAAAGTACTTAACATTCTAAATCTCATTTAATTGTCAAACCCATCATGGAAGTTGGATTTGAGATATATAGCTTAAACAGCTTACCAAACTTTTTAAATTGATGTATAATTATGGTGGGAGTTGAGCTAGGGAGTTTTTTTTCTGGGTCTAGGATAAGAGGGGATGTTCTACATAGGGTTCTGTCTCTTTGGGCATATATGTGGACATTAAGTGGGCTGGCAAACAGCTTGAAGTTATATACCCTTGAAAGGTTTAAAATATGCCTGGGTATGCAACTTACTTTGTAGAGTTCTGGTCATTCATGCGGGAAGCCTTTGATTTGATCCTTAGAACCATGAAAATCAGGTATGGTGGTGTAAGCCTGCACGATTAGCACTTGTGTGGGCTGTGAAAGCAGGAGAGTCAGAAGTTTGAAATCATTTTCCTTTACATACTGAATTTATGGGCAGCCTACATATGAGACCCTTTCTCAAAGCATGTGTGTGTGTATTTGGTTTAGAATATTGTTTTGACCAAATGGAAAGAAACTTGTATCTCAGTTCCCACTGTTGTTTAAACTACCCAGGGGTTAGTAAAATCTGAGTAAGAACTTGTTCAGGTGCCTAAGGAATTTGCAGCAAGTCAGAGGAAAAAAGTTATTGTTTGTGCTGCTTTGTAGCTGTAATTGTGTTCTCTTTGAAGGATTGCTTTTGAAGGATGGATTGTTGGAGTTGAGTTGAAGGATGAATATAGATTTTGTGTAGGTAGGCGTGCGCGCGCGCGCACACACACACACACACACACACGGGGACTGAGATTTTGACAGATACAAAAGCAAGTGCATGATTGTGGGAAAGCTTATGGAACATTGAAGAATAAAAATCTGTTTTGTTGAAAATTGGATAAACAGAAAACTAAGGAATCATTCTAGGTGATTCCAGATGAAGAGGCTTGTTTCCAAACGATAAGTGCATTTGAGCTAGGTTCTGCCAAAGAACAGAAGCTCAGTCTGAGGGTGTAACTCAGAGTTCTTGCCTACCACAGACGGCAGAGGCCCTAGATGTCATCTCAGTGCAGTGGTAGAAACAAAGAGCTTAAACACAAGGGACTTTTTCTTTGTTCTTAAAACCAGTTATTCCGATTGTGTTTGATTACTTTATATTTTTGTCTAACAAATCCTATTCATTGTAACAAATCTTCACACAGAGGATCTAAATAATAGTTCATTTCCACATTAAGATATTGATTACGTTATACTCTTATTTCTAATCACATTTTTGTTTATAGAAGTTGGATTGTGTTTTTACAAAGCTTAAAAGCTGTTTTCCCTTTTGAATTTAACGTTTAAAAAATATTTCATGACAGATTTTCCTTTTATTTACTAAAAAATATTTCACTCTGGTTGAATGATTATTATTGTTGTTATTATTATTAATTTTGTCTAGCAATTCATTGGTGAGCATTTAAAGGTGCTTATATTTGGTTTTACTATGTAGAATACATTCAAGAGAGAAGAAATTAGGGTTTTATTGTTCTTTTATATCCTTAACTCCTGCACATATTTTATGTCTTAGCTGTAAAATGTTTTTTTGTGTGACTCCATCATGATTTGACTACTCCCCCTAAAAGTTAGTTATTTCCAAATTTTACTATTTAAAGAAAGCTATTCATTCATCTTTGTATACCTGGCCATTTTTTAAAAATTCATCTTACTAAATGTATTATTTTTAGGTCAAGAGTAATCTTTTTACATTAAGTGGTTTCTTGGCTGCTTAACACTTATGTATTTTTATCTATTTTAATGGTTCTAGTATTAATTTCTGTATTTAATTCTGCAATTAGTAACTGGAACCATCCATTATTTGGGAGGCACTCCACTAGATTCTAGAGAATTCAAAAGTGAAAAAGACACTATTTTGTTATAACGGGAATTTACAAATTTGAGTCAGTAGTGTAGCATAGTGGTGTGGAACTACTTTAGATTGTTTCATTTCCTTGCAGAAAGCTGTACAACTGCATTTATTTATGTCATTTGTCTTTTTCCTAAACAGGAAAATAGTTCTGCTTGCAGGATGGGCATTGTTCTTATTCCTTGCATACAAAGTTTCCAAAACAGACCGAGAATATCAGGAGTACAATCCTTATGAAGTATTAAATTTGGATCCTGTAAGTAGTATTGTTATGTAACCTCATTAATTTAACAATACCTTAAATACTAAAGGTCTACATTCTAAAACAAATTATAGACATTTCCAAAAGAAATCAGACTTGGGTCTGTTGACCTCTCTTTGGTTAGATTTGTATTTTTCATTTATGTGTATCTGTTGTATGTGTACTCAGGTCAGAAGAGGCTGCTGGATTCCTTGGAGATAACAGGCAGTTTTAAGCTGCCTGATGTGGGTTCTGGGAAGTGAACTTGGGATCTCAGGGAGGGCAGTACCAGCTTTTATCCAAGCCAGTTATTCAGCACTGCCAGCTAACTTTTAAAAAAAAAAAAAAGATCTAAGTCATTATCATTTAAATATGTAAATATGGTAAATATGTTTGTTCAGTTGTTGATTGCTACTAGTAAGTATTAGTTTATAACTGGTAAAATGTTAAGATTACTTGATGAGCCGGGCGGTGGTGGCGCAGGCCTTTAATCCCAGCACTCGGGAGGCAGAGGCAGGCGGATCTCTGTGAGTTCGAGACCAGCCTGGTCTACAGAGCTAGTTCCAGGACAGGCTCCAAAGCTACAGAGAAACCCTGTCTCGAAAAACCAAAAAAAAAGATTATTTGATGATAAGTGACTATATTTTAAAAACACATTTATGTTGATTGACACATGCAATATCTTAAGTCTAAAGTTGGGGTACTTGTAAGAACCTGTTGTCATTATCATTGAAATTAGGTAATCCTTTTATGTTTTTTGAGATTTTGGTTGAACTTGGTTGACACACCTCTCTAGAACACTGGAACTTGAGGTAATGCAGAGAGATAATGAGGCTGGGAGAACTGGGTCCTATAACAGTTTAGTAGGCAGACTGAGTCTAGTGGTTGTGGTTTTAAACTTTGTTTGTCTTCAGTGGATGGCTTGGTTTTGAACTTGATATAATACAAATTAAGGAGAATGTTCATTTACATCTGCTTTGTAGAAGAAAAGTTTGCATATAATAGAATTTTTATTTGATTGTTTCTTTTTTTAAAACTTTTTTAGATTTTACTTTTAATTGTATATATACATATATGTGTATATATCTATATCTATGTATATGTGTGAGTGTGGGTTTGTCATGAGAATGCAGAAGCCTGCAGAGGGTGCTGGGTCCCCTGAAGCTACTCAGAGTTTGATCATGCTGGGAACTGGACTTGTGCATCCTTTCTAGATAAAGTTCACACTAGAGCAGTATGAACTTTCACCCCTGAGCATCTCTCTAGCCCAGTGTCTATTTTTTCTCACAATAATCATCACGGCCACCAAGAGTATAATAAAAAAGATGCGGGGAAATAAAAATGATCCAAAATATTGGTAAAAGGTGAGATTGAGAATCAATGCCATTTCTTTTTAAAATATTTAGTCTTAAGATACTGACAAGCAGATGAAGTGAGATGTTGCTCAGAGTATAAAGAAAGTAAATCTCTGACTTAACTGCATTCGTTTACTTTTGATCATTTTTTGAATATTTAAAGCCTGTGCACTTTTATTGAAAAGTAGAGTTATATGGTTTCACTACCATCACCATCAGTGACTAGTATGTTGCATGCCATATAGTTAAATGCTTGATAAAAATAATTACTTGAACAAAAGAAGTATATGTATGAGATGAAGTTTTGAGAGGTAAAATGTATAGGAGAAAATGTTACTTTTTTGTCAGAATATTGAGTAGTTTATGGTTTAAGATAAAAATAGGGTTGACTATTTCTTACTGCATTGTGTTCTTATGTATTAACAAAGTTTTCCTTTTAGGGAGCAACAGTAGCAGAAATTAAGAAACAATATCGCTTATTGTCACTTAAATATCATCCAGATAAAGGAGGTGATGAAGTTATGTTCATGAGGATAGCAAAAGCTTATGCAGCGTAAGTATTCTACGGCTTTTTACACTTTTTAAAGAAATGGGTAAAGATACTTTCTTTTTTAAGGTCATAGTAAGTAAAATGAATGTCATACACTTTTATTAAATATTTGCCAGGTATATTGTTGTGGACATCCTCAGCAGCTCTAAAGTGGTAGTTTAATGAAAGCATAAGTTACTCAGAGTTGGCATTTAAAGAACTGACACCTTTATCAAAGCAACTCTGGGTTTAATCTCTGATTTCTTGTTCTGTTCTGTTGATCTGAATGTCTGTTTTTGTACCAGTACAATGCTGTCTTTATCACTGTGGCTCTGTAGTGTAGTTTTTTTTTTTTTTTTTTTTTTTTTCGAGACAGGGTTTCTCTGTGGTTTTGGAGCCTGTCCTGGAACTAGCTCTTGTAGACCAGGCTGGTCTCGAACTCACAGAGATCCGCCTGCCTCTGCCTCCCGAGTGCTGGGATTAAAGGCATGCGCCACCACCGCCCGGCTTGTAGTGTAGTTTTAGGTTAGAAAATAGGGTGCTTCTGGTTGTGTTCTTTCTGTCTAGGACTGGTTTGGCTATTATGATCCCTCCACCCCCAGCATTGTCAGGTTTGTGAAGGAGTTGAGATTTTCATCTAGTGCTTTTTTTGATGTGAAATAAAGCTATTGGTCAGGTCAGCACTTACATTTTATTTAGGTGTTGAAAATCATTTTGTCACTTTTATATTGCCTAACCTGAAAGCACTTGTGTAGAAGGTATTTTCCTAGTTCTCCTGGCACTTGACTTAGAAGAGCTTGTTTTCTACAACAGTGAAGTTTTACAGGTGATGTTTACATCTTGAGAACATAGTGCCACTGTTTTGGAATTAATTACTATATTTTAAATTATTAATGTGGTCTTTGGAAAAATTTTAGAAAATAGACTTATGAAATAAATAAAGGTCACTTAAAATCTTATATTCTTAGAAGATGTAGTAAATAGTCTTTGAATTTTATCTGACTTAATTGGCTAAACTTCAGCTAATCAGGAATTCGTATCAAAGTCTAGGAATTAGTAATTTACACACAAAAGTGTGTATGGATGCTCCAACACTGCAGAAAAACTTTGGGTGACTGTGTAGGCGGCCACCTGTTTTCTGTCATTACTCAAATTTTTGGAAGTCACTTGCTTGCACTTCCTGCTTACTCAGTTAATATTATTCCCTTCTTGGGTCTCTGAGGGAGTTGAAGATTAGATAGATATAGTTGTAGTTTACCAGATACAGAAAGCAAGTTATGATAGAAAGTAAATTAGGTAAAAGACTTTGGACTCACCAAGATAGGATAGATATGAAATACTTTCTCTGAATTTGTTAAATGCAAATGGACTAGATATTTTTCATGTATTTATTGCCTGTATATATTGTATATAGTCATTGTACTTATTGTATACAGTTTTCTTATATTAGTTATAGCCTTTTTTATTTTATTTTTTTAGACAAAAAGGGGAAATGTAGTGGCATTTCAACTGTAATTTGTAAATAAGGGCTGCCTGAAGATCTGAGATTTAAACAGTCCCACTGGTCAGCCTTAGAGCCCGGATTATGGTGACACACACCTTTAATCCCAGCAGCCACCCTAGTTGCCATAGAGATTGGGTGGTGCATGTCTTTATTCCAGCCCTAGAGAGGAATAAAGGATGGGGGGCAAGGACAATGATGACAGGACGACAAAGGACAACTGTCAGTCACAGTCTCATTCTGAGATTCCGGAAGGCAGGATCTCCATTTCAGACTGAGGTCAAGGTAAGAACCAGAGGCTGACTGTTTTACTTTTCAGATCTTCAGATTGAACCCCAGTTTCTGACAGAGTTTTTATTAATCCTGCTTCAGATTCACATACATGTGCACACGCCCCTCCCACATCTAAAATAAATAAAAACAAAGGTATTAATTGTCTAATGAAGTTCTTACATTTGATACTTACTTTTTGGGAATGACCTAATTTTGATATCTTGTTTTCTTCATGATAGTTTAACAGATGAAGAGTCTCGGAAAAATTGGGAAGAATTTGGAAATCCAGATGGGCCTCAAGGTGCGGTGAATATAAAAATGTTGATAGTATTGTATATTATAAAAATACTAATTAGAATAAGAGAAATATTGATATTTCTCTTTATGGGAGAGTTAGCACAAGGAGTTAGATGAATAAATTGAACTTCTTTACTTTAAAAATCATTTCGTGTAGCCGGGCGGTGGTGGCGCACGCCTTTAATCCCAGCACTTGGGAGGCAGAGGCAGGCGGATCTCTGGGAGTTCGAGACCAGCCTGGTCTACAAGAGCTAGTTCCAGGACAGGCTCCAAAACCACAGAGAAACCCTGTCTCGAAAAACCAAAAAAAAAAGAAAAAAAGAAAAAAAATCATTTCGTGTATGTATGTATATGTTTTGCTTATGTTTATGTTTGTGTACCACATATATGATTGATGCCCAGAGATCTGAAGGGGGGGGGGTCAGATTTCTTAGAGCTGGAGTTATGGGGCCATTGCCAACCATCATGTGGGCCTAGGAACTAAACCTGGGTCTTGAAAGAACAACAAACGTTCCTTTTTCTTTTATTTCCAATTTATTTTATGTATTTTATTGATATGTATATAAAAGAAGAGGATGTTGGATGCCCTGGAATTGGAGTTATAGATGGTTGTGAGCCACCCTCAGGGTTCTAGGAACTGAACCCAGGTTCCCTGCAAGAGCAACAAATGCTCTTAACTGATGAGCTAGCTGGGACAGGAGAGATGGCTCATGTTAAAGGCTAGGTTCATAACCAGAAAGACAGCAAGTGCCCTTAACCACTGAGCAGTCTTTCCAACCTCTCTGTTTACTTTTTTACTTCATTTTTCTTTTTAAAGACTCAGTACCCAACATAATTGGACTTGGTAATTTTTTTCCTTCTTTTTTTTTTTTTTGGTTGGGGTGACCAGGGTGAGGTGGGGTAGATGTTGGCAGACTGGGAAGTGTGTGTGTGATTGGGGTACATTGCGTAAAATTCCCAAATAATCAATAAAAATATTATGTTGGTGAAAAAAAAACAAAGACTTCAATTCCCAGTACCGTGTTGAGTAGTTCAAAGCTTCCTATATATAATTCCAGCTCCAGAGAGATCTGATCTTGGTCTCTGGGGGTTGCTTGTACTCATGTGTATATACCTATTTACAGATACAAACAAATACTTATAATTTAAAAATAATAAAAACATTGTTTTCCGTGTGCATGGCACCTGCATGTACTCCATATGTAAACATGCATGGATGTGTGCACACCATGAACACATGCAAAAATTTTTTCTGTACTAATTTCTTGCATTTTCATAGTGTTTGTATGACTTCAAGACATGAAAGAATTTGGGTTTTCTATGAAAATGAAGCTTAAATGTGAAAAGTTTCCCCATTGAAAACTACGAAATTTCATAAACACACTATTCTGTAATATACATACATATGTTTATTTATTTTGAGACATGTCTCATCCATGCTGACCTTGAACTTTAGTGGTCCTTCTGCCCTGGACTCTCAAAAGCCTGGGTGTATTCTTTTAAGTTTGTATAATGGAAATATATGTAATATAATCTTGAAGGGTTTTTTTTGGGAAATGGGGAGAGAACTTAATTTTGAGATAAAGATAAATAAAATTGAAAGTAGACTCTTTTGAAAAATGATTTATTTTATTTCAGCTACAAGCTTTGGAATTGCCTTACCAGCTTGGATAGTTGACCAGAAAAATTCAATTCTGGTGAGTGCATTTAAATAAAGCCTATTTTGATGTTCTATACTGTATTAGGACATAATATAATGAAAGCGTTTACAAAGAAACTCTCATATGCTATTTAATTGTTACTGTGTTTTGAAAGCTACATAACGAGAAAGAATTGGTTCTCATATGACACTGCAGGTTTAGGACAATATTCTCTTGTTTGTTTGTTTGCTTGTTTTTGTTTGTTTTTTTCTGAGACAGGGTTTTTCTCTATGTATCCCTGGCTGTTTTGGAACTCACTCTGTAGACCAGACTGACCTTGAATTCACAGAGATCTGCCTGCCTCTGCCCCCTGCTGGAATTAAAGGACTGTGCCACCATTTCCTAGCAACAGTGTATCCTAAATGTAATTTTAAAACCTTTAAATTTTACTATTTTATTTTGAAAGTATTTTTGGGTAGTGTCCTAATTTTGGTTGAGAACTGTTAGGTTTTATGGTACCCATATTTATCTAAGGTGGTTTCGTAATTTAACATATTCATTTCATCTTTACTCAGACTAAGCTACTTTATGTTAAATTGAAACATACCTATTCCATACTAGGAAGGAGTGGATGTCAGACGTACTTCCATCACTGATAGTTGCTGCAGCCCTAAGACATCAGGAATTGGCCTAATATATTATTTAAAGATTGATGATTTATTACTTGAGGTTTTATGAAAATAATTATCTAGGAACTGTTTTGTTTTAATTTTTAGTTTGTTTTTTTCTTATTAGTTTTAAATCTTCCTCTCTCTCTGTGTGCGTGCTTGTGCGTGTGGGGGAATGGGATTGCCCAGGCCACAGCATGTGTGGAGGTCAGAGGATAATTTCCTGGAGTTGGTTATATCCTACCATGTAGGTCTTGGAGCTGGAAGTCAGGTAGTTAGTTAGGTTTAATAGCAAGCACTTTTACCCACTAAGCTGTCTTGCTGGTCTGAGGAGCCTTTTTTAAACCTTAAAAGCAAGCTGTAGTTTGTTTTGAAAATGATTAATTTGTGACATTAAAATTGGTAATTTTCTATACTTAACTGCTTGTAAGTGCATCTGTCATATTTAGGGTTACTGTGGGAATAAGAGAAAAGGGAAAGATAGCCCACAGATTTCAGATGAAGTTGTAGGTGAAAATTCAATAGTTACTATCAAATAAAAATAATGAAATGGCACATTTGCAGTTAGGCACTGGACTTAGTTTGTAAGGACTTTTAATTTATTTCACAGCACTACTTGCAAGAGGTGAATATAGATAGATGGTGCTTGACTGAAAGGGAGACAAATTTATAAAACGTTTGCAGTTATCTATGTTAGATCAGTACATAGAAAATTAAAAGGTGATTTGCATAGCAGACAAAAGTTCTAGAGTTTGAATCTAGAAACACTGTTAACCTGTATGACCTAGGACAAACTCTGCAGTCTGTTTGTACTTCAGCTACACTGTCCACAACCCCCAAAAGGTAGTACTTTCATTATATAGGACCAAATAGCAGAGTGCTTTTAATAGTGGGTTCTCTTTGTAAGTCTGAATGTTGTATTAACTTACCAGATCAAGGCACAGCTGTTTTCTCTTAAATTCTAGGTTTTACTTGTGTATGGATTGGCATTTATGGTTATCCTTCCTGTTGTGGTGGTAAGTTCTTTTTATTAATTTGGGGGGGAGTGGTTGCTCCATAAAATTTTGATTCTTAGAATTTAATCAATGCAACCTCTTGTTTTTAAAGATATTACTGTTATTGTTTGAAACAGGGTCTTACTCCTTAACTCTAGCTGGCTTGGAACTTGATAGTCCAGGTTGGCCTCAAGCTTGCCTACTCTTGTTCCGATTGCTGGGAATAAAGGCACCGACACCCAGCCTATTTTAATTTTAATTGTATGTATGTGTGTGTGTAGGGTATATGCACATGAGCATATGTGTCCATGTCCAGAAGAGAGTATTGGATCCCCTGGAACTGGAGTGGCTATGAGCTCGTTGATATGGGTGATGGGATCAGAACGTGGGTTCTCTATAAGAGCAGTACATGGTCTTAACCACTAAGACATATCTCCAACCCCCAGCCGCCACATTTAAAAAATAACAGTGTAGTACTATAATGCAGAGCTACCAAAAAGTTTATAATTTTCATCGTTCATTTCTTTGTGTTCTTTTTGATCCTGGAGTTTGTGTGGCTCCATGAGTCCTGTTATACATCTGTCTTTACCTCTTCATAGGATTGTTGTGTAAAATTCAATCTCATGAGACTATGAACAAAAATATGTCAGCTATAAAATGGTTTCTGCTAGGCAGTGGTGGCACACACCTTTAATCCCAGCATTTGGGAGGCAGAGGCAGGTGAATCTCTGTGAGTTTGAGGCCAGTCTGGTCTACAAGAGCTAGTTCTAGGACAGACTCCAAAAAAACTAGAGAAACCCTGCCCCGAAAAACTTAACTAAATAAATAAAATTTAAAAAATGGTTTCTACACTTATCAAGTGTTTATTAGAAAATTTTGTATTAGAAACCACTTTATTTGCTTATAGCAATGGGTGGTTATATTTTTGTTTTATCTATTAAACAGTTTTCAGCCTAAAACCTAAAGCATTTTAATCATGCCTGAGGATTTGTGTTGGTGTTTAGAGGTACCTCACAATGTATTTGTGAGTAAATTATTTGAAATATGGAACACGCTCAAGCACTTCAATGCTCTTAGTAAATTTTTGGAAAATTCACAAAAAACATTGTGCTGCCTCAAGCTTAACAGTTATCATTTTTCATGCTTTGTATCTTGTTCAATTTTATTTGTGTTTAGGGCTCTTGGTGGTATCGGTCAATACGATATAGTGGAGACCAGATTCTAATACGTACAACTCAGATTTATACATACTTTGTTTATAAAACTCGAAATATGGATATGAAACGTAAGTAAACCTAAATAACTGCTGTTTTTTGTATTGCTTTCTGAGTCATTTATATGCTGATATATATATTTATTTTCATTGTAGTAGATTCTATTTCTATTATAGTAGATTCTATTCATCAGATTGAATCAGACTAGGAGGACCATTGCTGACTGGCTGGCTCCCTCTCAGCCTTACATTCAGTGACTGTTTTTATACAGCCTAGTCCCACCTGCCTAGGAGTGGTACCTCCTCCATCAGTCTAAAGAAAATGCCTCCACAGACATACCCACAGGCCAGTCTGATCTAGGCGTTTCCTTCGTGAAGGTTCCATCTTCCCAGATGACTAATTTATGTTATTAATGAAGGTGTATAAAATTACCAAGTTTGTATATAGCAAAGCAATAGTTAAATGAGTAAGGAATTGGCTTACAAGTTGGAGAAAATCACAACTGAGAGATGATGAATTTCTAGAACACATAAAGAATTAAAAGACCTCTTGTGGTTGTATACACCTGTAATCCCAGTACTCAAAGAGGCAGAGGTAGGAGGATTGCCACAACTTTGATGTCAGCCTGATTTCCATAGTCAGGCCAGCCAGGGATTCAGTGTTTCAAAAGGAAGAAAGATTCTATCTTACTCTAGTCAGACTTGCTGATATTAAGAAAACAGTTAACAAAAGTTGGCAAGGATGTAGTTGCTGGTGAGAATGTAAGTTAGTTCAGCCACTATACATGAAAGTTCCTCAAAAATCTTTAGAGTTATCATATAATAAATTATACCACTTCTGGGAATACACCAAAAGGAAACTAAGTCTGATACCTCCACATCTGTGTTTACTGTGGTATTGTACACAATATCCAAGCTGTGGAATATGCGTAGGTGTCAACAGTAAATTGATAAGGAAGATAAAATATATATATATGGCAACCATCTTTTTTTTTAACTCAGCTTCAAGGAAGAACAAACTTAGGAAGACTTCAGGAAAATTGATTAACCAGTAGATATCTATTATGTGAAAAAAATGAGACTTAAACATTACATGATTTCTCTCAAGTAGCTCTTAGGTTTTTAATGTATACACACACACCCAGATATATACATATATGCCATGAAAGTTGAAGCAAGACTGTCTGCGAAAAGGAAGAGTACTAGCTGGAACAGGAGCGGCAGATATGGTCAAAATAGATGATATAGTTGAACAAATGTCTGTGAACCCCTTCACTATGTATAGTGAATATAGGCTATAGAAAAGAATGAGTATTACTTTCTGTTGTGCATACATATTACCCTTAAGTTCAGTTGAAATATAAGTATAGGATTTTCCTTATAAAAATGGTTCATGTGCTCTGCTTTGCCCATGGGGTACTGGTTTCTGAGAGTGTTACTTTGTTTCATATAATTGTGTCACAAAGCATTATTTAGCTGGTGAATTTATTTACATTTTCTATAGCTGTCTTTGGAACAGTTATTTTTTCTTTCCCCAACATAAAAATATTTGAGCCTGGTGTAGTGGTGTGTGCTTTTAACCCTAGCATTTGAGAGGTTGGGACAGGTAGATGTTTATGAGTTCCGGGCCAGCCTGGTTTACATATTGAGTTCCAGGCCAAAGTTACATGGTGAGACCCTGTCTCAATTTTTTTTTTTTTTTTGCACAGTAATAGGTCACACGTTTCCTGTGCCTGCTGTGTGTTGGACACACCTGAACAAACTAAAGTACAAGGAGAAATAAGACTATTGCCCTGGTCATTTAGCCAGGAAGTTCTAGAATTGTAGTCTCTACTCTTCAGCATCTGTAGCCCCATCTTTTGTTTATCACCTGTATATTTTTTCTCTATTAAAGGTAGATGATATTCATGGGTAGGATGAAATTGATGATCATAGTGTCAGTCCTTCTAGAGCTTTTGGGGTGATGATACATGTGGCAGGGAATCATGTGCATTTCCATAAAACTCTCCAAGGTTCCAGAATTTTTGTTTACTTGATATTTTGAGAAGTCATGGAATGAAGAGAATCTCTCACTCTTGGCAGTTCGTTCTTCCCAGCCTTACTTAACTGAAGGCACTCTTTTACATGCCACATTCTAATGAGGTTTTGATTCTCTCTAGTAGGCTTCTAAGGAACACATGCTTAGTATAGAAACATGCTATTTAAATGACCTTAATTATTCCAGTCCTTTTGTGCCCTTAATCTGATGAACACTTATACTCACTTGGGATAGGTAACTATTGTGTACATTTTTAAAAAGTACAGTTTCTTTTGTTTTAGTAGGAGATATTAATTTAGTTGTCAGTAGTGGAAGCCAGGTGACTTTCAGCATTGTGTTGTGCATGGTTAGAAAGGTGCTTTCTGTAGGAGGTATCTCAGGAAGAGAAATTAATAGATAAGCAAATGTCTATTTACCATTATATTTGTTTGTTTTCATAGGTCTCATCATGGTTTTATCTGGAGCATCTGAATTTGATCCTCAATATAATAAAGATGCCACAAGCAGGCCAACAGATAATATTTTAATACCACAGGTTAGGCTGATCTTATACATTTCTTGATGAGCAATAAAGTAAAAAAGTGAATGATTTATGATATTTTTCTGAATAATTTTTTTTTTTGCCTTAGCTAATCAGAGAAATTGGGAGCATAAATTTAAAGAAGAATGAGCCTCCACTTACCTGTCCATATAGCCTTAAGGCCAGAGTTCTTTTACTGTCTCATCTTGCTAGAATGAAAATTCCTGAGACCCTGGAAGAAGGTATTTGTAACTTTGATATTTAAAGGGTTTTAATGGGACCAAAGCAACAGATTTAGGTAATCTTGGTAATTTAGTGTTTACATGATGTTCTTTTTTATTTAAACAAATAGTTGTTTATGTTCCTTTAAAAATGTCTATATGTGCCAGGTGGGGGTAGTGCATGCCTTTAATCCCAGCGCTTTGGAGGCAGAAACAGACAGATCTCTGTGAGTTCGAGGCCAGCCTGGTCTACAGAGCGAGTTCTAGGACAGGCTCCAAAGCTACAAAGAAACCCTGTCTCAAAAAACAAACAAACAAATCTATATGTATGTAATTACTTTACAAATCATGTGAAAGTCTACATCAGATGCTTTGGCAAATGTCAAAATGTATTATTTCAAGGTCAGAATATTCTGTATGAAAATGTTTAATGCTGGGCGGTGGTGGTGCACGCCTTTAATTAATTAATTTATTTAATAAAGATTTCTGTCTCTTCCCCGCCATCGCCTCCTATTTTCCTCTCCCTCCCCCAATCAAGTCCCCCTCCCTCGTCAGCCCAAAGAGCAATCAGGGTTCCCTGCCCTGTGGGAAGTCCAAGGACCACCCACCTCCATCCAGATCTAGTAAGGTGAGCCTCTAAACTGCCTAGGCTCCCACAAAGCCAGTACGTGCAGTAGGATCAAAAACCCATTGCCATTGTTCTTGAGTTCTCAGTAGTCCTCATTGTCTGCTATGTTCAGAGAGTCCGGTTTTACCCCAGGCTTTTTCAGACCCAGGCCAGCTGCCCTTGGTGAGTTCCCGATAGAACATCCCCATTGTCTCAGTGTGTGGTTGCACCCCTCGTGGTCCTGAGTTCCTTGCTCGTGTTCTCTCCTGCTCCTGATTTGGACCTTGAGATTTCTGTCCGGTGCTCCAATGTGGGTCTCTGTCTCTGTCTCCTTTCATCGCGTGATGAAGGTTAATATTCAGGAGGATGCCTATATGTTTTTCTTTGGGTTCTCCTTATTTAGCTTCTCTAGGATCACTAATTATAGGCTCAATGTCCTTTGTTTATGGCTAGAAACCAAATATGAGTGAGTACATCCCATGTTCCTCTTTTTGGGTCTGGCTTACCTCACTCAGGATAGTGTTTTCTATTTTCATCCATTTGCATGCAAAATTCAAGAAGTCCTTGCTTTTTACTGCTGAGTAGTACTCTAATATGTATATATTCCATACTTTCTTCATCCATTCTTCCATTGAAGGGCATCTAGGTTGTTTCCAGGTTCTGGCTATTACAAACAATGCTGCTATGACCATAGTAGAGCATATACTTTTGTTGTATGATAAGGCCTCTCTTGGGTATATTCCCAAGAGTGGTATTGCTGGGTCCAGGGGTAAGTTGATCCCGAATTTCCTGAGAAACCGCCACACTGCTTTCCAAAGTGGTTGCACAAGTTTGCATTCCCACCAGCAATGGATGAGTGTACTCCTTTCTCCACAACCTCTCCAGCAAAGGCTATCATTGGTGTTTTTGATTTTAGCCATTCTGACAGGTGTAAGATGGTATCTTAAAGTTGTCTTGATTTGCATTTCCCTGATCGCTAAGGAAGTTGAGCATGACCTTAAGTGTCTTTTGGCCCTTTGAACTTCTTCTGTTGAGAATTCTCTGTTCAGCTCAGTGCCCCATTTTATAATTGGGATGATTAACCTTTTACGGTCTAGTTTCTTGAGTTCTTTATATATTTTGGAGATCAGACCTTTGTCAGTTGCGGGGTTGGTGAAGATCTTCTCCCAGTCAGTGGGTTGCCTTTGTGTCTTAGCGACAGTGTCCTTTGCTTTACAGAAGCTTCTCAGTCTCAGGAGGTCCCAGCACTCCGGAGGCAGATCTCTGTGAGTTCAAGGCCAACCTGGTTTACAAGAGCTAGTTCTGGGACAGGCACCAAAACTACAGAAAAACCTTGTGTTGAAAAAACAAACAAACAAACAAACAAAAAACCAAAAACAAAAAAAAGAAAAAGAAAATGTTTAATAACTGCAGGTTAGTAAAAGCATTTCCTTAATGGCTTTGCTTTTTGAGACAGTCTCAATTTTGTCCCTCTGGATGTTATTGAGCTTGCTCTGTTGCTCAGGCTGGACTCAAGCTGAAGACCCTTCTTCCTCAGCCTCCTGTGGACTGAGATTATAGATGTGCATCACCATGTCTGGTTCCCAGTGATTTTGTGAAAAGAACTTGAAATCTTTTTAGAGGAACACAAGTAGATTTACAGCAAATATCTCTAGGCAGAGGTTTCTTGTTTCTGGCCACCCAGACCTGAAATAATCACACAGAAACTATGTTAATTATAATACTGTTTGGCCAATAGTATAAGCATATTGCTAGCTAGCTCTTATATCTTAAATCTTATATCTTATATCTTAAATCCTGGTACCATAGAGGCATGAAGACGACATTGGATTCCTTGGAACTGCAGTTGCAAGTGGTTATGAGCCACTGTGTGTGTGTGTGTGTGTGTGTGTGTGTGTGTGTGTGTGTGTGTTGGGAGTTGAATTCAAGTCATCTGGAAGAGTAGCCAGTGCTCTAAACTATTGAGATGTCTCTCCAGCCCCTCAAATGGATAATAGTAATATTAGTAATAATAATAATAGCGTTTATTTATCTGTATTGTTGGTATTTGAACTTGGGACCTGACATGTGCTATGCATATACTCTGTCATCTAGCTACACTCCCACTGTTAAAATTTTTTTAAATATATTTTTTATTTTGATGTGCATGGGTATTTTACCTGCAGTGGTGTCATGTATCATATGTGTTCAGTGTCTGAGGAAGCCAGAAGAGGGTATTAGATCCTTTGGGACTGTAGTAACAGACTTTTGTCAGTCACTATGTTGGTGCTAGGATTTGACCTGTCCTCTAGAAGAGCAACCAGTGCTCTTAACCACTGAACCATCTTGCCAGCCCATTGTTTTTACTTCTTTGTTTCTGGAAATTGGACTCAGTGGTCAGACTTGCACCACAAGTGCATTTACAAACTTAGTCTTCCCCTTCCCTTAATTAACTTCCTCCTCCTCCTCTTTTTCTGTATTTAGTTAATTTTATTCTCATTCATGGTCTTTGTATTAACCCACAGTTATAGAAACTTAACAGCATAAGCAGAATATTCTCAAAGATAGCAAGATTAGAACTGAATTTTTGATTAGGATTATTTTAAAGAAAATAAGGAATGGCTATAATAAGTATATAATTACACCATCATGTTAAAATTTGACTTTTCTACATCTTGTAATTGTAATGACATCTACTTTTTTGCAGTGATGTTGAGGAGAAACATTGATTTGATCATTAAAATTCTGAGACTATGTGAAATACTTAAGGGCCAGGACAATTTGTGTTGGCCTTCAAATGGAAGAGGTGTTTTCACTGTAAGATTAGAATGGTTTATTTCAGGGTTGGTTTTGTTTTGTTTTATTTTATTTTTCAGATCAACAGTTCATGCTGAAAAAATGTCCTGCTCTGCTTCAAGAAATGGTTAATGTAATCTGCCAGCTAATAATAATGGCCAGGAGCCGTGAAGGTGAGGAGGAAATATAATTCATTTGGACTTTTTCCTATAAGCATTTGCTCAGTATATTTCACAGTTTAAAGATTTATGAGTATTTAATTTCAATTCTGTATCCTGGGTCAATCAGGTTTGTCAGATTTATTAATGATTTTTTTTCATTCTTTTCATTGTTTTTATTTTTTAGTAATTTGAATTTTTTCTTTCCTCTGAATAGTTTTTAGTTATTTTGTATTTTAACAGTGAGTTTGAAATAATTATTTAATTGGCACGATGTGTAATTTGTGTGTGTGTGTGTGTGTATGAAAAGGAATTTTGACTCTTAGTGGAAAAGAAGATGCTAAAAAAGAGGAGACTTTGTAGTTTGTTGTGGGTGATTTTAGTGCTTGGCGATGTTACAGTACATTGGGAATATTGAAAATATCTTCTTATTTACTGTTGTTGGAGTTTGTAAATACAAAGAATTTCAGCAAAACATGCATTACACCTGTAATCTCAGCACTTATTAGTCTGAGGCAAAGGTCTAGTTTGAGGCCATTCTGGGCTCCATAGGGAGATCTTGCTGTCTTCAAAATGCAAAAATAAAAATACATTTTAAAAACATAAAATATTTAGTTACTCTTTTATTTTTGAGATAGGTTCTTGCTTTGTAGCCAAATCTGCCTTAGCAATAAGGTTACCACTATTCTCCACTGTGCCCAGCTGAGGATGCTTGGGAATTTGTGTATTTGTGGCAGCATCTTACTGCATTGCCTACGCTGGCCTTGAAAGCCTCCTCGGCCCCATGAGTGCTGAGATTGCCACCCAGGTGCTGGGATTACAGGTGTTTTTTCACCACATCATGGTACTACTGATAGTGCCTGATATTTTACCATTATTGGAGTTGATACAGAGACTTTTGTTAAATTAATGGTTGTTGTTGAGTAATACACACTTGATCAAGTTTGTGTATTTTTTTTAACATGTTTCTGTAGTTTTTAAAGGAAAACTCAATATCTTGATCTTGAATTTTAGGTGTTGAATATTAGTGTGATTTTATTCCTTTTAATGAACGTCTAAGAAGTACAGCCCTTTTGTTTCTTTTTTTCCTATTCTTTCTAAGAAAGGGAGTTTCGTGCTCCAACTTTGGCATCCTTAGAAAACTGTATGAAGCTTTCACAGATGGCTGTCCAAGGCCTCCAGCAGTTTAAGTCTCCCCTTCTGCAGCTCCCTCATATTGAGGAGGACAACCTTAGGAGAGTTTCGAACCATAAAAAGGTTTGTTGACTGCTTTCTCACCAGAGTTTAGCAACTTGTTGTTTCACAAGGTAATGTAAATAAAGTTTTCCAGACTTGGTTACTGTGGATTTCTTAGATTTACAATATCTTTTGTTAGTATTTCTTAATTAGGTAGTTTTATAATAATTTACTACTATAGTATTACTATTTTGGGTTGAGTGAAATTTAGCAATTAATATTTTATTTTTACATTGCAAAAATGTATGTACCAAGTAAGAGTACATCATATACTTTTGATTTTGACTTAAAGGTTGGGCAGTTGTTATAGTTGAGTATGAACAAAAATAAAAAATGAAGCATTCATTAAAATAATGTTGGTGGACTGGTGATGAAGCTCAGGGTAAGAGTGCTTGCTTGGTATGCACAAGACCCTGCGTTCAGTGCCAGTTAATTACATACATGGGGGGAGGGGGAGGGGAGGGAGGATATACTGGTTAAGTAAAGATAATTTCTTTTTTAGAAAATATTGTAGATGCGAATATCTCAAACCTATATAGAAATTTAAAAAGTTTGGAAAGTATAAGAAACTGAAATTATAATTCTGACTTTTGGGTGTGGTAGTGAGCCCCATGTACCCAGCACTTTGGAAACTGAGGCAGGAATACGGTGATAAATTTGATGCTTAGGCTAAGTAGTGAACATGAGGCCAGTGTGGGCCACACAATGAGACCCTGTTTTAAGAAAATAAAAAGAAAAAAGTTACTTGGTATATATTAGAAGTGAATAGAAGATAGGCTTTGGATTTGATGGTATTTAAAGTAGTAACAATATAAGAAACGTCTATCCAAGTCCTTTAATCATATTGCCATTATAGATTTCATCAGTGTTAACCAGATTCCTTGAGTTGAAATTCTACTTACTGCATGATTTAATCTCTGTGAAAATAAAAGTTAAATATCTAGTACTTAAATTTCAATTAATTTAAGTTCATTTAACTTACTGCATAATGAAACCTTTAGAGGCCACTTGTACTGGAAGTTTTTTATTCTTAATACTGAAAATAGATAAATTTAGGATAGTAGTTCTTGCTTGACTCAATATTCTGTATGACCATTTTTTATTTTTGTACTCCTTATGTTTTTCTGATTTTTTTTAAAATAAGCCTGTAATGAATTTATAGCAAAACAACTTTAGTTTTAATGGTCTTGGTTTGAAATGTCCATACTATTAACTTTTTTTCTGAAGTTGGTGGATTTTATTTTGGTTAGCATGCCACTAGTTTTCATTTTATGAAAAATTTTATTTATTTTTTTTTAGTACAAAATTAAAACTATCCAGGATTTGGTCAGTTTAAAAGAATCAGATCGTCATAGTCTGCTGCACTTCCTTGAAGATGACAAATATGAAGAGGTCATGGCAGTCCTTGGGAGTTTTCCATATGTGACCATGGACATAAAGTCACAGGGTACGTGGGAGCTGTCCTTGTTGCACATTGCGTAATTTGGTCTCATTTATTAGACTCAAATTCTTGCTTTTCTTTCCTTCCTTCCTTCATCTCATTATATTGCCCTGTCTAGCCTGCATTTACTATGTAGTCCAGTCTTCTTCAAACTTGGAAAAATCTTGTTTCTGGTCTGTAGGTGCTGATATTAAAGTAATATTTTTGGTTGTTTTTTACTCTTTGCTCTTTGAGGGGCCTACCACCCAGCTCCCAAATAAATACATGCAGAGAGCTTCATTCTAACTTATAAGTGCCCAGCCTTAGCTTGACTTATTTCTTGCCAGTTTTTCTTAAATTATCCTGTCTACCTTTTGCCTCTGGGCTTTTATGTTTATCTTATGAACCTTTCTTCTTACTCTGTAGCTTGCTGTGTAGCTGGGTGGCTGACCCCTGCAGTCCTCCTCCTTCTCTCCTCCTAGATCTCCTCTTCCCAGATTTCTCCTCTTTATTCTCTCTGCCTGGCAGCCCCACCTATCTTTTCTTCCGCCTCACTATTGGCCTTTCAGCTCTTTATTGGGCCAATCAGGTGTTTTAGACAGGCAAAGAAAGTAACACAGTGTCATAGAGTTAAACAAATGCAAGATAAAAGAATACAACACATCTTTGCATCATTAAACAAATGTTCTACAGCATAAACAAGTGTAACACATCTTAAAATAATATTCTCCAACACAGTCATTGACCACTGTATCTGTCTTTAAAATACTTTAATAATGTCATTTGTAATTAGATTTTGCAGAGTTGTGGTTTTCTTGTCAAAACCCTCCTTTTATGTTTGTTACAGTTGTCCTAAGTACAAGGAGACTATTTTATAGTTGAATGTTCTGGTTTTCTTTTTGTGTAACAATCACCTATAATTGGAAATTAGTTCTGAGTGAGGATATGGAAGATTTAACCTTAGTTGAGTTTTTCACACACAGAGCTGGGCAGGCAGGAATTCATGTTCAAGGTGTAGAATGTACCCTCTTCCTGTGGTTCTTGCTTTATTGCTCTTATTATGTTATAGGCTCCCACTCCTGTCTTTTTTTAAAAAAAGTTTATTCTTATGTTCATTAGTGTTTTGCTGCATGTATGTCTGTGCAGGTGTCAGATCCCTTGAAATAGGAGTTACAGGCAGGTGTAAACTGCCATGTGGGTGCTGGGAATTGAACCTGGGTCCCCCGGAAGAGCAGCAAGTGCTCTTAACTGCTGAATCATCTCTCCAGTCTGTGTCATTCCTGTCTTAACCCTGGCAGTGCTATGCAGTCTTTTTATAAGTTGATATACTTAAAATACTTATTGTAACCTATATGCCTTTGGGGCTGAAATCCTGCATCAGGATCTATTGGCAGCTATCCCACTTTAACATCACGAGCCTCTTCTCCCTCAGCTCTTTTTCAGTGGAGTCCTTGATTGCTTAACTTAACTTTCTTTTCTTTTCTTTCTTTCTTTCTTCTTCTTCTTTTTTTTTTTTTTTGATTTTCGAGACAGGGTTTCTCTAGTTTTTGGTGCCTGTCCTGGAACTAGGTCTTGTAGACCAGGCTGGCCTCGAACTCACAGAGATCCGCCTGCCTCTGCCTCCCGAGTGCTGGGATTAAAGGTGTGCGCCACCACCGGCGATTGCTTAACTTTCTAAAGAATGGAAGAAGTGTCCAAGTATGATGAAAGGAGAAGGTATTTCGAATGCATAGTTTAAAGAAATAGTTATTTAGAGCTGGGATTAACTCTATGGTAAGCTTTGAAAATTACCGTGCCTGCATTTCATGTGTTCTTTCATCTCTGTGTAGTAATAAGAGCTGCGGGCTGCGTCCCCGGCACCCGGCCAACTTTACCCGAAATCATTACACGGAAACTGTATTCTTTTAAACACTGCTTGGCCCATTTCTATCTAGCCTCTTCTAGGCTAATTCTTGCACTTGGACTAGCTCATTTCTTATAATCTGTGTAGCCCACGAGCTGGCTTACCAGGAATGATCTTAACCTGCATCTGCCTGGAGTGGGAGAATCATGGCGACTCCCTGACTCAGCTTCTTTCTCCCAGAATTCTGTTCTGTTTACTCCACCTACCTATGTTTTAACCTATGAGGGCCAGCCAAGCAGTTTCTTTATTGCTTAACCAATAAAATCAATATGACACTCCCACATCATCTCTGTCTTTTTATTTGTTTTAAGTAAAACACTTTCTATCAACATAATTGCCCTGTCACCATTTTAATAGCCAAGTAGTATTTTTGAACACAGAATTACAGATTATTGGTTTATTTTGTCTTTGTCATAGAGTTCTGAGTGTAACATTCACCAATTCACTGTTGAGAGAACATTTTTTTCTAGGTACCAAAATGCAGGACCATGTTAGGAATAGTTTCTGTCTTTAAAGGGTTCATCATCTAGTTGAGTATAGGATTAAAAACAACATAATGGATGCTTAATGTTACATGATGACAGCCATTTTACCTTATATTCACGTAGACAGCACTGAGTGTTGCATACTATGACTGGCATCCGGAGAGCTATGCTTAAGGCACTTTACTTACTGAATTTGTATTCTAATATAGATGAGAAGTAAATGATTTCCTGAATCATTCTAGGGGCACAGTTTGTCTAGTGTGTAGGACATTTACAAAGTATTTACATATAGTAAATACAGACACTAAATACTTTGGACAGCTCTTTCTGGGATTTGGGAGTTTTTTTTTTAGATTGGTGAGTTTTTAGACTTTAAAATCACTAATGTAAATGCTGCATTTAGGGACTGGAGAGATGCCTCAGAGGTTAAGAGCACCTGCTATGCCAGGTAGTGGTGCACACCTTTTAATACCAGCACACAGGAGGCAGAGGCACGTGGATCTCTGAGTTCAAGACTAGCCTGGTCTACAGAGAGAAACCCTGTCTCAAAACAACAATAACAAAATTCCTCAAAACAACAACAAAAAAAAACCCAAAATAAAAAAAAACAATTGCTACTTTTGCGAAGGACTTGGGTGTGATTCACAGCTCCCACTTGGTAGCTCATACCCACCTATAACTCCTTGAACACCATCCACACATGTACGCATGCGTACCTACAGGCACTCACACATACATACAAAATAAAAATAAGTCTTTAAAAACTACGTTTAGGGTTTTAGTTTTTTTTTTTTTTTGGTTTTTTTGAGACAGGGTTTCTCTGTGGTTTTGAAGCCTGTCCTGGAACTAGCTCTTGTAGACCAGGCTGGTCTCGAACTCACAGAGATCCGCCTGCCTCTGCCTCCCAAGTGCTGGGATTAAAGGCGTGCGCCACCACCACCCGGCGGGTTTTAGTTTTTTAACCAAATCCAGTTTGGGACTTAAGAATAATCTTCATTATAATCAATTATTGTAAAACATGTATACTTAGAACAAATGAAGAGATTTGTCTTTGAAGAAGTAAATGTAGTTTTTTTTTTTAAACTCTTTATATTTTTGGGGGGACCTGCCACCTAGCTCCCAAATAAATACACGGAGACTTATTTTTACTTATGAAGGCCCATTAGCTTGGCTTGTTTCTAACCAGCTTTACTTACTTAAATTATCCCGTCTACCTTTTGCCTTTTTTTATATCTCTTTCTTTTCTTCTTACTCTGTAGCTGGCTGTGTGGCTGGCCCCCGGCATCCTCCTCTCTTCTTCCTTTTCTCACTTCTCTTCTCTCCTTCCCAGGTTATTCCCTGCCTGGCAACCCTGCCTATCCCTTTTCTTCCTAGCTATTAACTATTCAGTTCTTTATTAGACCAATCAGGTGTTTTAGGCAGGCACAATAACACAGCTTTACAGAATAAAAGAATGCAACACATCTTTGCATTATTAAACAAATATTCCACAGCATAAAAGAATCTAAGACATCTTAAGCTAATATCCAACAACAAATGAGAGTTCATTTTACTGTGTTATTTGTGTATATCATAGGAGTCACATAGTTTAAGGAAAAATAGAGATTATAAGACCAGTGTTCAACATGGTGGTGGAGATAATTGCTTTCCCTTTATCACTAGAGGCTATGTAGCATCTCATGGCAGGCTCTCCCCCACCTCCACTTTAAAACACTAAATGCTTGTATACACTGATGCAGTAGATGTCACAGGTACCGCAGTGAACAGTGTGGGTGCACACGTGGCCCAGCTTTGAGTTCTGATAACAGAGGCTTCTAGGATAAAGAAAGGATAGTGTACCCTCTCTCATGTCTAGTAGTGGAATTAGCAGTTAGAAGGCTTCTAGGATAAAGAAAGGATAGTGTGCCCTTTCTTATGTCTAGTAGTGGAATTAGCAGTTAGAAGTTGTTGGATTCTACTGTTTTTCATATGTTGATGTGTAATAAAGGCCGGAACAGCGTGCTGACTAAATCAGTGTTCTGTAAGCCAAGCACAAACTTAGAAAATAGTAAACCAAAAATTATCAGTGAAGACATTTTTTATCTATAGAAAAATGAATTAATGTCATCGGAGTAAAAGGTATGAAAAGTATTTATCTCTCCCATTGCTTTGACACAGTACCTTGCAAGCGTTAAAGGGGAAGTGGTTTATATTGGCTCATGGTTTGAGAGGTATAGTCAGTCCATTGTGCTGGAGTCTTGGTGATACATTGCATCTGCAGTCAGGAAGCAGAGAGATGAGTGTTGCTGCTCAGCTGCCGTTTTCCTTTGTCAGTTCAGGCCATTACCCTGGCCCACAGTACCACTCCTGCCCACATTTAGGGTAGATCTTCCCCCCTCAGTTAACCCCATCCAGAAACTCCTGCAGACATGTTCAGAGTCTTGTCTCCTGTCAAATTGTCGCTGGAGTGTTCCAGAGGTTTTTTGTTTGTTTGTTTATTATGTTATGTGATTTATGGGGCTGTATGGCAAAATTAAATAATTACACATACTACTGTGTTTAGTACTATCTATTACAAAAGAAATAATTCTTTTCTTCTCTGTTTTGTTTTTTATTTGGTAGCTGGTTTTAAGACAGGATCTCATTTTGTAGTTCATGGTAGCCCTAAACTCTCAGCAATCTTTCTGCCTCAATCTCTTACACCCTGGGGTTTATAGGACTGATCACCATATGGCCTACCAAGGAAAATTTCCCCTAAATTTCTATTTTGAAATAATTTCAAATTTAGAGGTACATTACAAAAATAAGTGTTTCCATTGCCCCTTCCCACAATAGTCTTACTGTATATTATATGTATAGCTATTGACAATTGCATTTATTAATTTTAATAACTATTATAAAGCTGCAGTGTTATTGGCAGCAGTATTTTTGTGTGTAGAGGTGTGTGTGTGTGTGTGTCTGCATATGCGTGTGTGAGCACGAGCATGTGTTGCATGCATGAACCAGAAATTAGACTTTTTGGCTAGACTGGGCAGCCAGCTAGCTCTTAGATTCCACTGGTTTTTATCCCCCCCCCCCCCCCCCCCGCCCCATGCTGGATTTACCGGTATTTTACATGCCTGGCTTTTCATGTGGTTGCCCTGTACCATCTTTTCTGCTCTTTTAGTTATTTTTCCACAGCATTTCAGTGCTTATGTCCTGATCTGTGAGTTGGATGCAGGGGGGGGGGGGGGGAGGGAGAAAGGGAGGGAGAGCGGGAGGGAGGGAAAGAGAGAAGGACAAAGAGGGCGAGAGAGCAAGTGCAAGCAAGACAGCCTTTTGAAACTTCAAAGCCCACTTCCAGTGACACACCTTCTTCAACAATGCCACACCTTCTAATCCTTCTCAAAACAGTTCTACCAACTGGGGACCAATTCAAATATGAGCCTGTGGTGACCATCCTCTTTCAAACCACAGCATTTGCTGGGCACTATTCTCTTTAAAATATGGACCTCTACACAAATTTGCATGTCATCTTTGCATACAGAGAATACTAATCTTCTGTTATTGTTGTTACAGTTTTAATAATTCATTCCAGGGGGCTGGAGAGATGGCTCAGTGGTTAAGAGCATTGCCTGCTCTTCCAAAGGTTCTGAGTTCAATTCCCAGCAACCACATGGTGGCTCACAACCATCCGTAATGAGGTCTGGTGCCCTCTTCTGGCCTGCAGACATACACACAGACAGAATATTGTATACATAATAAATAAATAAAATGAAAAAAAAATAATTCATTCCAAAGCTAACACTTAAAGTTTTTTACTGTAAAGAAAATATATTGAAGTTCCTACTTTAAATATTGTCTCTTTAAATGTTTAAGGTCATTTGGAATGTCAGTTTTTATTATTTAGTTCCACAGGCAGGCATTGGTCAGAGAAATAAAATTATTCAGTTTCTGCAAAGTTTGTTTTGAAATTTGACAGTGCTGGCTGTGAACCTTGGTTTCTTAAAGTGGAAATGATAATACATCACAAAATTCTTTTAAGGATTAAATGAAGCAGCTGTTGAGGCATCTGGAGATTTTATACAATAATTAATAAATTATTTTTTAATATGCTTAAGGTAGAATTCTAAGGTACTAAATTGTTTTGGACAAGTTAAATATTGCTGTTTGCATTGACTTGGAACTTGTTTTTTATATTTTGCTCTATTCCTCCTATCTTACAGTATTGGATGATGAAGATAGCAACAACATCACAGTAGGATCCCTAGTTACAGTGTTGGTTAAATTGACAAGGCAGACAATGGCTGTAAGTAGTTTATTTGTATTATTTATTTATATATGTATTATTTTGTAGGCTTATTTGTTGGTTTGTGTGTAAATGCACATGTTTGCACATGGGTGTATATGTATGTTTGTGGAGGCTTCAGGTTAAAATCTGTTGTTGCAGTGTTGTTTTTTGAGATGGTGTTTCTCATTGGCCCCGTGTTTACCAATTTAGTGAGGCTTCCTGGCTAGCTAGTTCCAGAAATCCCCTTTTCTCTATCTCCTTAGTAATGGAATTATAAGCACGTATTGTCTATCATGCCTGGCTTTACTTTTTATTTTTTTAAGAAATGTTTTGCCTGTCTGTATACATATAAACCATATGGGTGCCTGGTATTTACAGAGATCAGAAGAGGGCATTGAATGCCTTGGAACTATATTTACGGATGATTGTGAGCTACCATATGGATGCTTGGTATTGAACCCAGGTCCTTTGCAAGAACAAGAAGTGCTCTAAACTATTGAGATACTTTTCTAGACCCCTGATCCCATACCTTTTCAAACTGTGATTCTAGGTATCACACTCAGATCCTCATGTTTGTGTGGCCAGCATTCCACTGACTGAACCATCGTCCCGGTTCGCTTTTTTTTTGTTTTGTGTTTGAAACAGGGTCTTGCTATGTAGCCTCTACTGTCTTGTTCCTTTTGACTCAGCCTCCTGAGGGCTGTGACTACAGACATGCACATTTCACTTTATTTGTAATTGTATTTTTATGCTTTATGAATTTTCTTTCCTTTCTTAAACAAACTGTACCTAAAAGTAATCAATTAGTCAGTCCAGATAATAAATGGAGAGATGAAGAAGTGATGAATTAGACTAGGGAGTTGCAACCCTCTTTCAGCGAAGGTTCAGATAGTAAATAGTTTAAGTTTCATAGGTCATAGTTTTTGTACCAGTTACTGAACCTACAGAAGGACGTGGCTGTGTTCTCATAAAGTAGTATTTTAAAGCTGGCAGTAGTCCTAGGGAAATGGTGTAGTCAATAAAGCACTTGCTATGCAAGAATAAGGACCTGGGTTTGAATCCCTAGCATGTACATAAAAAGCCAGGCATGGTAACAAGCTCCTCTAATACCACACTAGGGAGGTGGAGACCGGAAATTCCCTTGATCATACTCTCTTGCCAGTCCAGCCAAGTCAGTAAGTCAGTGAGAGAACCTGCCTCAAAAAATGATGTGAATGAAAGGAAGCCACTTGATACCAACCTCTGGCATCCACATGCATTACCCCCCCCCCCCCCACACACACACACAGAGCTGGTTGTGTTGGTTTAATGATTTAGCACCTACCTAGCATATGTGAGATGATAGGTTTTTTCTCCATCACTTCAAACAAAGAAAGAAAACAAAGCCTTATAGTGACACATGTCTATAGTTTTAGCAACTTGGACTCAGAAGGCTGAGGCAGGGGGATTTTAAATTCAGGGCAGCTGGGTTAGTTACATGATGAGACACTGTCAAAACCATGAAAACAAAATGATGATGCCAGCTTATTGATCTCTTAGTCAGACTAGCCTGTCTCTTATAGAGCTTAATTGTTTATGTTCATTTATTGATTATAATAATTCTAAGACATTTATTGAGCACAACCTATACCACTTGTCAGTTTCCACTATGCATTTTTACTAGGTTCTAATCTGATTAAATTGTATGGCTAGTAGATATGTTTTTAGATTATGGATTTTATTGGTAATCTACTGATAAGAATAAACTTATAGTGGTCCCTTGAAGGCGAAAATTAGAATAATATACATTCAAATTTTCATTAAAATATTCTTGTTTGATAGTTAATAGAATAAAATAAAATTTTAAATTGAAATATTTTTGACTTTATAATGAATTGCATATATTAAGTCATTGAATTTGTTAAAATAGACTGTACTTTTCAAAATCTATTTATGATAGTTATAAGGTACTTCAGAAGGTTGCTCCTTGCATACATACAGACTTATGACTGCCAAGCCTACCCACCCTCTCAATTACAACTGATTAATAAAACCTTTATGGATAAATATTTTTAAAGATTTTATATTTCATCTGATAGACAAATATGGGCTGATAGATATTATTGTTGTTGTTGCCTCTAGGAAGTATTTGAAAAGGAGCAGTCCATCTTTGCTGCTGAGGAACAGCCTGCAGAAGACGGGGTAACAATTTGAGTTTTCTTACTTTCTTTATAAAGAAATGTTTTATTTACTTCTTTGGTTGACTTATATTACCACAGGGTATATAATACAGCTTATGAAAATATGTATTTTGGTCACTTTCTTCTAAAAATGACTGTGAAGCCTTAATAGTTGCATTTGGTTTGCAGCAGATTGATGCCAACAAGAACAAGGCAAAAGGAGGATGGCAGCAGAAGAGCAAAGGACCCAAAAAAATGCCCAAGTCCAAAAAAAAGAAGCCTTTAAAAAAAAAGCCCACAGCTGTACCCTTACCTCAGGCAAAACAACAGAAGCAGAAGCAGGCAAATGGAGTTGTTGGGAGTGTAAGTCTGTTGTCACTGTTCTTGTTATTACTGCGGTGTAATCTGTATATATTAAACTGTTCAAATATGTATATAGCTCCTAAAGTACACATGTGAATACATTAAACCCATATCAAGATTTTCCTCCTTTCTTTACTCTTCCCTTCTAAACGCTGGAAATTGAACATATAGGGCCTCATGCACACTCTGCTCTACCACTGAGCTATACCCAGCTCAAATCAAGGTTTAAAAGCTCTGGGCTTTAGAGTTTGGGCTCAGCAGTTAAGAGTGTCTACTGTTCTTACATAGAACCTGATTTCCATTCCTAGCATCTGTGTCAGGTGACTCACAACTACCTATAACTTCATTTCCAGTCAGTCACTTGTTTCTGCAGCAGCTGCACTCACATGTACATATACCACAGATAGATACAGACATATACACACAATTAAAAAATAAAAATACTTTTAAAGATATTTAAAAACCTTATTAGCATTTTGGAGAGCTCCTGTATTTCCCTTCGTTGTCAGTGGTTCTTCCATTGAGTACTTCATCTCTCTATCCCTATACCATGACTATAGTCACTGTAGTTTTGTTTATTAATAAACTTCATATAAATGAAATCTTCTCTAAGATTTATTTTATGTGGAGGAATGTTTTTATTTGTTTGTATAAATGTCTTTGCACTATGTTTGTGTAGTGCCCTAGAGAACCAGATGAAGCCAGAAGAAGGCAGATTCCTTGGGACTGGAACTGCAGATGGTTGTTAGCTGCCACATGGGTTCACTAGAAAAGCAGAGAGTTCTTTTAACTGCTGTGCTATCTCTCTAGTCCTGACTTTCTTTTCTTCCACTCCCCCACCTCTGTACCTCCCTCCTTCCTCCATTCTTTCCATTTGTGAGACAGGATCTTATTATGTATCCCTGCCTGGCTTGGAACTCACTATGTAGACCTGGATGGCCTCAAATGTACAGAAATATACCTGCCTTTGCTTTCTAGGTGCTGGGATTAAAGATGTGTGCTATAATGCCCCTATTTTTTCTTCTTTTTTTTTTTTTTTTTTTTTTTTTTTTAAAAAATTTATTTATTATGTATATAGTGTTCTGGGCACCAGATGTCACTATAGATGGTTGTGAGCCATCATGTGGTTGCTGGAATTGAACTCAGGACCTCTGGAACAGCAGTCGGTTCTCTTAGCCTTTGAGCCATCTCTCCATCCCCTTCTTCTTTTTTTTTAATGCCAGGCATGGTGATGCCTTTAGTGAGGTAGGGACAGGTGGATCTCTTGAGTTGGAGACTTCCCTGGTATACAGAGCATATTCTAGGATAACCAAAGCTACACAGGGAAAATTCTTTCTCAAAAAAATAGACAAAAAGAATTATTTTTATTTATGTCTGTGTGAATGTATGCAGATTTTGTCTGTGTGTGTGTGTGTGTGTGTGTGTGTGTACATGTACATTTATGCCCGAGTGCCTGGAGTCTCCTAGAGCTGGAGTTACAGGTCATCATGATGTAAAACTGAACTTAGGTCCTCAGGAAGATCAGTAGTTGCTCTTAACTGTCACACCATCTGTTCAGCCCCTAGTTTTTATATTATTTTTAGGGGTGTTTTGCCTGTGTGTGTGTCTGTGAACTACATGAGTGCCTACTGCTTTGGAAGAAGGCTTCCCTGGAACTGGAGTAACAGATATTTGTGAGCCACTTTGTGGGTGTTGGGACTCAAACCCAAATCCTTTGCAAGAATAGTCTCTCCTGCTGAGACATCTCTCCAGCTTCCCAATAATTCTTTAGAAAATTTTTTTTTAAAAAAATTGATTAATTGTGTGTGTGTGTATTTGTGACATGTATGGTGATCAGAGAACAACTTGTAGATTCTTTCTTTCTACCATATGGGTCCCAGGGATTGGACTCTGGTCATTAGGTTTGGTGGCAAATACCTTTACCACTGAGCTGTCTACTGAACTGTCTTCCTAATCCTGGCTTAAGGATTCTTACTTTTCTATTACTTGTAGGGACAGTTCAAAGGGAGAGAGACTACACACACATATATTCTGATGCTATTTCATTTTATAAATACACTATCTCTGTTCTGTTTGGGTTTGCCATTTTAATCTAGTCTAACTAAAGGTGCTTATATAATATACTTTCTGTTCAGGTTTTTATTTTATGGTCATTTTCTACACAGCAGTGGCGAGGGGGCACTGAGTCATAAATGGTTGTGTTTAACTCGTCAGTAGAGCTGATTTCCAATTTCTGCCATTTTAAACCACCCCAGCTGAGGATCAAAGTCCATTGCCTGTGCTCTCGCTTGTACTTTGTTTTCCCTTCTTTTGCTTTAACCGTTTTGATGATCTGTAGTAATGTTACTTTGGTTTTCATATATATTTACCTAATGATTTTGAATGTCTTTCATATACTTAACTGGCCGTTTTGTTAATTGTGCTTATGGGTTGTTTGTATTATGGTTTTGATAGAGCTCTTTATGTATTCTAGGTATGAGTTTTTTTTTTCTTCTTGTAGAAGGTAGCTTTTTGGTGGTTATTATTTTAATTAAATCTATTTCATTTTATTTTTAAAATACCTTTTTATGACTAGTTGTGGTGGTGCACACCTTTAATCCCAGCACTTCATGGCAGAGGCAGGTGGATCTCCGAGTTTGACTGGCTACACATTGAATTCCAGCCAGGTTACGTACATACTGAGATCCAGGCCAGCCACAGCTACATAATTAGACCTTATCTTAAAAAATGTATTTTCTCTGCAGGCATACATGCAGACAGAATATTGTATACATAATAAATAAATAAATATTTAAAAAATGTATTTTCTATTTTTTGAGAATTTTATACATGCATCCAGTGTATTTTGATCATAATTATCCACCAACTTCTCCCAGATCTACTCCAAATTCCTGACTTTTTTTTTTTTTTTAATACTAATCCAGTTTGTGCTGAGTGTATACTCAAGGGTGTGAGACCATCCACAGAGTATAGCCAACCTGCCAGGGGCCACACCCTTACCTGACTTTTCTTTTCCTCAAACCATCAATAGTTTCTCTGTTGGGGGCTTCATTCTGGAATGTTTACTAGTTTGATGTTGTGCAGGTAACCACAGCTGATGTGAATTTATTTTAATATTACCTTTAGCTCTGTAATTTTTTTGAATGAATTTTCATTGATAATGTAAATTATGGAAGTTTTATTCCAGTATTTATTGAAAATACAATCCTTTTCTCGTGAATTGCAGTGGTATTTTGTTTAGAAAAAATGACCATATTGCTTGTAATGTGTTGTTCTAGATACCACAATCCATTGCATCTGCTTATTCTTGTGCCAATGTCATACTAGCTTGATTGTAGATTTCAGTCTTTATATATTATAGTATAAATTCCACAGCTTATAATTTTACTTATTTTTAAACTATTTTTCATCCAACTAAACATTTAGAGTAAGTGATAATTTTCACTAAAATAATTACTGAGTTTAGATTAGCATTAATTGAATCTATGGTTTGATGTGGGAAATTAATATAGCATTTTGATTAGTCTTTATTCATATTCATTGCCTGTCTTTATTAACTTAGAGCTTCTTTAAATTTTCCTGGCAGGTATGGTACATTTGTACTGCTATGTACCTGGTAACTTTTTGGTATTATTTTCAATAACATTTGTTTTCATTTTTCAGAGGCTATTACTGCTTTGTAGGAACACAATAGCTATTTCTTAAAACACTGACCTTGTGTTAAGAAACTTAGTGATTTGACATTGATTTCAACATTTGTAGGTGTTTTAATAAAGATGTTCCACGTAAGTAGTTATGGTCTTTGTGAATAAAGGCAGTTTTACTCACAAGTTTTGTTTTTTGTTTTAAGCTTTTTATGCCCTCCATTTCTGCCTTTTGCCTTTCTTTACTGGCTAGAACTTTGTTGTGAATGTCTAATCTTGAACCAGTTCAGTCATCTTGAGAGTGAATTAGCTTCAGAGACTCAAAACAATATATACTGACTGAAATGTTCAGAACTTTTGTCTTTACTTTTGTGTTGTAGGAACTTGCAGTAAAGGAGGATGAAGACGACATTTCCGAGAAAGGCAGTGACTCTGAAGAGGAGGAAACCAATAGAGAGTCCCAGAGTGAAAAAGATGACGGCAGTGACAGAGACTCAGATAGAGAGCAAGATGAAAGACAGAACAAAGATGATGAAGCAGTAAGACCTGATGGTTTCCCCTCCCCAGCCCCTGTTGTGCTGAGAATAGAGCCCAGTGCATACCCCACACTCCAGACCTGATCGTGGAAATCATCACTGGAGCTGTTGTTCATTCCTTTGCTTATTTATTTGCCTTAAAAACTCATCCATTTTAGAATTTTACTACTTTAAGATTGCATTTATTCTGAGGAATTCCTGTTAGGGATTCTAAAGGAAAATCGTTTCAGACAAGGATTAGAAATCCCAGTTTTCTTAAATTTGTTGAAATTCTGAAGGGCAGCAGGCTCTGTGTATGAGTGAGACTATTTTGATCTTTTAAGGAAATTTTCAGTGTTGGAAGGTATCTGTGGAAATAGGAGTAAGGGAAGGTGGGTGTGAACCAGGAACAGTCCTTAGAAGGTTCTTCTGTGGGTTCCAGATCACACTGAGAAGAAACATCACTGTGAACTTGGTGGTGGAGAGTCAGTTAAAAGGAAAGCTTTTAGAATATCATCTTGTTTGCATAAGATAATTAAGAATTTATTAAGATGATGAGGTACACTCTTTGCACATCAAATTCCACCTGACTTTTGGGAATGATACAGAAAAGAATGTGCTGGAGGCTCATTACAAATGAAGTATAAACTGATTGTTCTTGCTCTTTTTTTTTTTTTTTTAAATAAACGGGGTTTCTCTGTAGCTTTGGGGCCAGAATATAGATCTTAAAGTAATCCTTGTGGTTTGAGATAGAAAATGTAATCCCCTGAATAGTCTCTGAGGCAGTAGGAGAGTCCTGGAAGAGGTAGGGAGTGGAATGCAAAGGTATAAGGAGCTCATGCGCCTACTTATCCTTTAGGGAGAAAGCAAATAAAGATGAGTTTTATTAGTTGCTGGGTCTTTAGTGCTTTTAGACTTAGAGAATTACAGAGATTGTTTCCTCAGTTCTACTCTAAGAAAGATTTGTTATGACTTAGAGAATTACAGACATTGTTTCCTCAGTTCTACTCTAAGAAAGATTTGTTATATCATTTTCTGAGTATCTAATATTCTCAGAGGCAAATGAAGTTTTTATAGATGAGCGTTTTTTCTTTTTTTCTTCCTTTCTTCTTTAGATTCATAGTCTATTTCATCCTAAGCATGATTTAGTCCACAGAGTCTAAGACAAATACAAAATAGCTTTTGCCTTTGAACATCCTGGCTGTCAGAGACAGCAGACTTAAATGTTGTAGTATGGACAAGAATTAATACATATTTTTCAAGCTGTAGTAATGGCATAAAGGTGTGATAGCTAAGTTCTGAGGCAGAGGGAATATTCTTGATAGACGTTTCTTGGGAGTTCATACATTGGTATTTCACTGTCCTGATAGAATTAGGAGTAGGAGTTTATAAGACTGAGAATGTGAACAGAAACCTGCATAGGGTTTAGAGTGGGTGAAATGGTTTGGTAACTTCATAGACGTGTAGGTAGCTATAATGACAAGAGTGAAAAGGACAAGGAAGGAAGCTGTGGTATAGACTGAGTCAAATCTGAAACGGTAGTGTCACCATGCTGTGGGGCTTAGAGGCATAGTTAACTTTGTGCCACACAATGATGAGACTTGTGGAAAAAAACTTAAAATCCTCGTAGCTGGTTGGCATTGTAAAAAGTAAAAGCTAGAAACTCCTCTAGAGGGTCTCTGCAAGGTACCAGATTTCAAGTATTTTTTTTTTTTCACACTAGGAGTGGCAAGAGTTACAACAAAGCATACAGAGAAAAGAGAGAGCTCTTCTGGAAACCAAGTCCAAGATAACACATCCTGTGTATAGCCTTTACTTCCCTGAGGTGAGTTGCACTCAGCCTAGTGTTTCCTTTATTCTATTTCCTCTTTCCTTATATTTCTCATTGGATTCATACTGCTCTGTGGTGTATTAAGTGCTCCAAAGTGTAATAACTGGTTTATTTTTGATAGGTCACTGTTTTAGGGTTTCTGTTGCTCTGAAGAGGCACCATCATCCCAGCAACTCTTATAAAGGAAAACATTTCCAGTTTGTCGTCATGGCAGGTGGCACGGCAGCATGCAGGCAGACTTGGTGCTGGAGAAAGAGCTGAGAGTTCTACATCTGGTTCAGCAGGCAGTAGGAAGTAAATAGGCTTGACCTTCTAAGACCTGAAAGCCTGCCCCCACAGTGACACACTTCTTCTAACAAGGGCACATCTACTCCAACAAGGCTACACCTCCTAATAGTGGCACTCCCTATAAGCCAATGATTTAAACACATGAGTCTATGGGGGTCATACCTATTCAAACCACCACAGTCACCCCCATTCTAAAGGATATATTGTAATATTACTTACTTTCTGTGAACATATTGTTTACAGGGTGTTTAACTTTTTAAGTTTTGTAGATGGAAGTATCTGTCCTACCCAGTCCTGCAGCTATTCAATCCCAAAGAAACACACAGAGACTTAAATTAATTATAAACTGTTTGGCCTATTAGCTCAAGCTTATTATTAACTAGCTCCTACAACTTAAATTATTCTTGTCTATGTTTAGCCACGTGGCTTAGTTGAAGCATTCTTTTGCTTCCTCTACGTCTAGCTGTTGACCACGTCTCTGCCTTTCCTCTTGCCAGATCTTAGTCTGGTTGTCTATTCTTCCTGCCTGGCTACTGGTCAGTTAGTGTTTTATTACACCAATATGAGTAACAAATCTTTACAGTGTACAAGAGCTTTATCCCACAGCAAAGTTTATATGATTTCCTATGCACCTGTTATCTCTGCTCATATTACTACTGAGTGTTGTATTTAATGCCTATTTGCATTTAGTAGTGAGAGGAGGCTTTATAAGATGAATGCAATATTTTGACTTTGGTGACTTAGCTGTTCTGAGTCATTCATCACCATGAAGTTTTAATAGGATGGAAGAAATTCTTCTCTTTGAGGGTTTCTTACTAGCTCCTTGGCACAACCACCAAACTTGCTTTTGACTCCAATAACTGTCCTGGATTGTGGGAATGTATTTATCCATAGGTGGTAGTTATGGAACCAACTCCTTTAGGTTCTGAACAAATTTCAGCAATAACTGAGCAATACCTGAGGCCCACACTGAGAACTGTCCTTGTTTACCTTGTTGTTATACTGCTCACCTTTTAATGTCTTTGCTCTCTCAGTTGTTGATCTGGAAATGACTTGGGAATTCCTTTGACGTTTTGCTTTGAAAATGATTCTGTCTGTGGAGCTTGTTTCCCCAGCTCATGAAAACTGATCCATGGCCTGCTTCACAGCTTTGCCGCAGAGCCTTCTGCTCTCCTCATGTTTGGCCAGTGGGTTGATGTGTACAGTTTGCTTTCTGTACAATATGAGAATATCAGTCCAAAGATTCTGGAGCCTTCTAAGCAAGTGGCTTTGCAGTGGTGGTGTTTAGATTTGGAGCAAAGTTGACCTAGGGTTTCGTGTTAATATATGTGATGATATTCTGACATGTCTTGGGCTTTTACCCATCTGTTAGGAGCATTTTGCTCATTGAAGAGATAGCCTGCCAACACCAGGCATCCTGAAATCAAGCAAATAAGTTCTGCTTGTTGATTGGTTTTAAAAATCAAACAGAAAAAGTGTGGGATGAAGTAAGCACTCATCCTATGTAATTGGTTTTCATGTAACTTACATTATCATGATTAGTTGAAGTGTTTTATCCTCAAAAATGCCTTTTCCTAATATAGTCTTACCTTGTGGTCAGTGTTTGAAAACTCAAGACCCATGTGCCACATGTGGCCTACAATAGCACTGAATGTGGACAAACACAAAATCGTAAACTTAAAACATTGAAGGGTTTTTGTAATTTATTTATTCGTTTATATATTGTTTTGTAGTGTGAGCTTTATAGATGACATTGGCGTTTCACAAGGTCTAAAGGCTGACCATGCAGGCCAAATCTAGTTGCCTTCTAAAGGTCTCATCATGTGGCCCTGGCTGGGTTTGAATTCACACAGTTTATCTCCTTCTGTCTATCTAGTGCTGATAATAAAGGCATGTGCCACCATGCCTGTAGCCTGCCTACTTTTGCACATGATGCTATAGCGTGAACACAGTTTATTTGAACACAACTTTATTCATTTATTTTACACTGCAACAGCAGATCTGAACACCCCCAAAAGTTTACATTAATATTGCATGTTGAGATTGTTAGGTTTGTATAAACCCTGTGTATATCCGAAACACACACACACACACACACACACACAACACACACAACACACACCTGCGCATGTACACACATAAACCATCAATCATTCTGTAGCTTCATCAATCCTCAAGTTAAGCAGAACTGAATTTTTTTATTTGGCACTGTTCTCATCATTGCAATTTACTTATTGCCTTATTCATGCTAAGTCCTTTGTGGCCTGTGGCATTTAACAGAACTTTTAGTTGAGTTTAAACATACACAAAGTAATAATGGGAAAGACAGAAGGGCCATTGAGATGGATCAGCAAGGACATGCACCTCCTGCTGGCCCTGCTGACCTGAATTCCAACCTGGGATCCACATGATGGAAGGGAGAGGACTGATTCCTCTTGTTATTTTTTGACCTCTACACATGTGTCATAGCATACATACACCGACGTACATATAAACATAAAAAAATATTTAAAGAAGATTAAGATAACCAAGTAAGCAAAAAAAAAAAAAAGTTACTAAACCACATTAAAGGGTAAAATAAAATGGAAAAGGCACTGATTTGGCTTTAAAAGTAGAAATAATTTCCAGAGAAACATTTCAATAGAATTTCTCTTCCTTCCTTCTTTTCTTTGCTTTTTTGGGGATATCTTTGCACCTATCCATAGAATTTTTTTTTAAAGTGTTAGAAAATTGAGAGTTTAGGATAGGGTGGTGCCATTTAGGCTAAATGTATATTTAGCACATTCTGGAGTTATTTTTAGGTTCCAACATTTTTCTTTAAAACCAAGTGTCAGTCCCTGAAACAGGTGATACTGAGCACACGTCCAGTACTGGTTCAGCAGTGGGTGATGTAGCACGGTGATGATGCTGTGCGGTACCCATCCACTTGTTTGTTTCCTAGCTGCCCAGACTCCCGAAATAACCACACAGAAACTGGTATACTCCTGTCAAGATCTTACATATTAAATTAACCAATTTCTATTTTATATTTTATCATGAGGCTTGTAGCCTACCGGCAAGGTTCCAGCTATCAGCTCGTGTCTTTCCCCTTTGGTGGCTACATGGTGTCTTTATTCATTAACCAATAAAAGCAACACATATACAGAGGGACTTCCCACCCCATTTCCCCTTTTCTGTGTAGATAAAGAGGAAGGTTTTGACTTTAACATAGTAAAATTACATATAACAAAACAGTTATCAAGAATTAGAGTTTCAATATTTATCTCTACTTTATCTTTTATCATAACTAAGGAAAAGTATAACTATCTATTCTTCAACTCCATCAGAAACTCCAGAAGGATATAATACTACCTAAGTAAACAGAAAGTGCATTGTAAGAAACTTCCAGAACTCTAGAATTGACAGAGACATCGTGCTGCCTGGACAGACACCCTAAGTTCTTCTGTATCATTGGGGCATCGATCTTAAGCCTGTAGGTCCATAGTATCCAGCAGACTTTTCCATGAAGCAGGAAATTTCAAAGACAGTTCTACCTGTACTAGCAGTTTGTCAGTCACTTTTTTCTGTGTCTAGAATATCTTGCAGACTCTTTCATGAAGCAGGAACCCTGAAGGATGTTCTCACCTTTAGGCAAGTTCAAACTCCAACTTCAAGTTCAATGCTTCAGCGATACAGGAGAACTTTGGGTGACTGTTCAGGTAGTGAGATGTCTCTGTCAATTCTAGAGTTTTGGAAGTTGCTTACAATGCACTTTCTGTTAACTTAGGAAATATTATGTCCTTCTGGAGTCTTTGATGGAGTTAAAGAATAGATATAGTTTTCCTTAGTTATGATAAAAGATAAAATAGATGTAAATATTGTAACTGCAATTCTTGCTTGATACCTGTCTTGTTATATCTAATTTTACAATGTTAAAGTTAAAACCTTCCTTTTTATTTAAACAGAAAAGGGGAGGTGATGTGGAATTCCTCTCTGTATGCTGTAAATACCATTGGTTAATAAAGAAACTGCTTTGAACCTATAGCAGAGCAGGGCAGAACAAAGCGAGGTGGGGAAAACTAGACTGAATGCTGGGAGAAAGAAGGTGGAGTCAGGAGAAGCCATGTAGCCCCACTGGAGATGAACTTTACCCAGTAAGCCACAGCCTTGTGGTGATACACAGATTAATGGAGATGGTTAATTTAAGATATGAGTTAGCCAGAAATATGCTTAAGCTATTGGCCAAACAGTACTGAAAATAATATGGTTTCTGTGTGATTATTTCGCGGCTGGGCAGCCGGGAACAAACAAATGTCCTCCTACAACAGTGCTGGGCACACTGAAACTTGGTGCATGCAGACATCTTGGCCCTGTGTTTATTAATAAAATCATTTTCTGCCTTTTGTTCTATCATTTTTAATTCCCAGCTCTCATTGTGCATTCTAGTGATGGTTTCCTAATGAGCTTTTTGTTGTTCTGATCTTTGAGAAGTTCAGAAAGAAATGCTGAGCTTATTAAAATAGCAATGTGCAATGAAAGATAAATATAAGCTCTTAAAATCTGAGGTGTTCTCTTTTATGTTTTAAGTATTTAATGCATTGGCATTTTTATTGGGCTGCTCAAGTCCCTTCTACTCATAAGCTGATTTTTGCTTATCACTAGGTAGAATAACTGATTTTTTTTTGTATGGTGTAATAATTGTTTTCCTTTTTTAGAATGTCTTTTCTCATTTTAAAGTAAATCACAGATTTTTAATTATTGAGATCCATTAGCAGACTTAATGGAGTTGTTGAAACTCCAAAAGTTATACATAGAACTGATTGTGGAATAGTGCGTGTGTCTCTTAGTGGTTTAGTACAATTTGTTCATTTGCTAAGAGGTAGCACTGAACAGGGCAAAGACAGCATCTCAAAAGTAAGACGAGTTGAAACTGTTTTTCCGGTTCTTTCTGAAGCTTATATTCTTTTTTTTTTTTTCTTTCAGGAAAAACAAGAGTGGTGGTGGCTTTATATTGCGGATAGGAAAGAACAAACATTAATATCCATGCCATATCATGTATGTACACTGAAGGATACAGAGGAGGTAATTAGCCAACAATATTTCTCTCTTAATATCTTAACTTTTATGATGCTTCATTAAATTTTTTTGTTGTTTTGGCTTTTGGCTTTTTGAGACAGTATTTCTTTGTGTAATAGTCCTGATTGTTCTGGAACTTGCTTTGTAGACCAGGCTGGCCTCACACTCACAAGATCCTCTTGCCTCTGCCTCCCAAGTGCTGAGATTTAGGGATGCACCGCCATTTATGTTTGTTTTTGTGTTAGGGTTAGCTTCAAGCTCCCTATGTGGCTAACACTGGCTTTGAACTCCTGATTCTTCTGCCTCTGTTTCTCAGGTTTTGGGATTACAGATTTACATTACCATACTTGACAATTTACCGTAGCTGGAAATTTCTATACTGCTCGCCAATTCCCAGATAACCAACTCAGGAGACTCAATTTTATTTACAAATGCTCAGTAGTAGCTCAGGTCTGTTAACTAGTTCTTACAACTTAAATTAACCCATTTCTATTACTCTATATTGCCTTGTGACATGTGGCTTTATCTGTCCTCCAACTTGTCTTGCTCCCTCTGTGACTCCTAACTACTCTACTGACTCTGCCCTTCTTCCTCCCAGAATTCTTACTTTGGCTGTCCTGCCTATATTTGCCTGGCTATTGACCAATCAGTTCTTTATTAGTCAATGAGATATATATATATATATATATATATATATATATATATATATATATGTATGTATTAACAATGTACCGAAGGATTATCCCACAGCAACTTACATGTTGTTTGTTATAAGGCATTTTATAATTATATATATTTATATATATGACATATATTATGTGATGTTTTAGAGTGAGTCATTAGAAATCTTTAAAGATCAGTCTGTTGAAAACATTCTACGTTTTGAGACAGTTTTTCCTCATCACTGTCTACAAACATATCTACTCTCCAGACTCTAATGATGTTTTACTTAAAAAGTTAAAATTTTTGTTCTTGTTGGATTACTGCTAAGTAGACTATACTTTGTCTTGAAAAATCCAAGGACTAGTAATTTTTCTGTTTTAGAATGGAGGATTTTTTATTATTTTATTATGTGCCATTAATTACTGCCTTTTTCTTTTTTCCCCTTCCTTCCTTCCTTCCTTCCTTCCTTCCTTCTTTTCCTTCCTTTCCTTCCTTTCGTTTGTTTCTGCAACTAATACTTGAGGAAAAGAATTAAAGAAGGGAGAACTAGAGAAGATGGTTCAGTGGTTAAGAGTGAATACTGCTCTTATAGAGGATTCGGGTTTGGTTCCAGCACTCACCTGAGGTGTCTCGTGCTATCCTGTAACTTTAGTTCCAGGTTATCTGGTGGCCCCTCCAGGTACATGCACTCATGTGTATGTGTACACACACACACACACACACACACACACACACACACCCCTAATTTAGAATAAAAATAATTTTTATTTTAAAGGAGAGAGGATTAATTTCAGAAGGTTCATCCATGTTTGGCAATTAGTTGGGTACTTTAAGTTCCATGCCATTAGAGGCAGCCAGGACGTAGAATAGGGAAAGACAAAGGGCAAGATGTAGTCTTCATAGGCATACTCTTCTTATGACCTACTTCCTCTAGCCAAGACCACCTTCTGTAGCTTATCACCTTCCAATAATGTCTTCAAATTATGTTGCAACAAAGGTTAATCATTCATTACATCATAGCTCTCAAGTTCAAGAAACATCCAGAAATGTGCTTTTCTATTCTAGGTATTTCTAAGTCCGGTCAAGTCAAGACTGACTGCCATAATGACATGGTGATAAAGAGTTGCTTACTCAATATGTCTTACATTTACTCTTGGGAGCTATATTCTGTTCTACTGTTCTTGGTGTGTGTGTGTTCCTTTTTGAGAAAGAAAGCTCTCTCTGTCAGCCTGGACTTAGTGGACAAATTTCAAGATTGTTCTAGATATTGACTATATTATAAGTCAGGGTTCTCTAGAGGTCTAGAGGAAAGAACTGATAGAATAATGAGGGTGGGGGTGGTGCTTACAGGATGTGGTCCAGCTAGTCCAACAATGACTGTGTCTTGACAGAAAGTTCAAGAATCCAATAGTTGTTCAGTTCACAAAGCTGTTTGTCTCAGATGGTCTTCCAGTGTATGTTGGAGTCCCAAAGAAGCAGGCTCTAATGCCAGTGAAGGAATTCCTCAGCAACAAGATGTGTAAACTTGCCACTGAGAATGAGGACAAGCAGATAAAAAGCAAAAGCTGCTTTCTTCCATGTCCTTTATGTAGGCTTCCTACCAGAAGGTATGGCCCAGATTTAGGGTGAGTCTTCTGACCTTCAGTGATCCAGATTTAAGGTGAATCTTTGTTTTAGTTACATTCTGTTGCTGTGAAGAGACGCCATGGCCATAGAAAAGCATTTAATTAGGGTCTTCCTTACAGTTTCAGAGACTTAGTCCATTATCACAATGGCAGGGAGCATGGACTCAGTACACATGGTACTGGAGAAGTAGCTAAGAACTACATCCTGATCCATAGGCCAGAGAAAGAGAGACTGGGCCTGGCATGGACTTTTGAAACCTCAAAGCCCATCCCCAGTGACACACTTTCCCCAACAAGTCCACACTTCCTAATCCTTAAATAATGTCACCCCCAAGTGCCTAAGCATTCAAATATGTGAGTCTATCGGAGCTATTCTTATTCAAACCTCCACACTCTACTTCCTGGCCTGATAGGTTTATATCTATATCATTAATGCAAAAATTTATTCAGTACAACTTCAAAAGTCCCTATAATCTATCATAGTCTCAACACTATTTAAATAAAGTCCAAAGTCTTTTCTGAGACTCATGGCAATCTCCTTAACTGTAACCCTCTGTAAAATCAAAATCAAAAGCAGACCATATACTTCCAGCATACAATGGCACAGAATATATGTCACCATTTCAAAAGGAAGGAAGGGGAACATTGTGAGGAAATGTTGAACCACAGCAAGACTGGAAACCAGAAAGGCAAACTCCAAACTCTGCATCTCCGTGTCTGATGTCAAATGCTCTTCAGGTCTCCAGCTCTTTTCCATACTCCTCTCTTTTGGCCTGGTTCCATACCCAGTCTGCAGCTCTCCTTAGCAGGTATCCTTCTTGCCTTGTCCTCTGCCTACAGATAGTTCATGTTACCAATTTTGTTTTGTTTTGTTTTTGGGATAGGATTTCTCTGTGTCACCCTGACTGTCCTGGAACTCACTCTGTAGACCAGTCTGCCTCTACCTCCTGGATAAGAACTGGGATAAAAGGCTTGCACCACCACCTCCAGACAGCCAATTTTTAATGTATTTTCTTCGTGGTGTTTCATGTAAATAATATAAAGGTTATTCCTCCTCCCCAAATTTTATATAAAAGTCAGCAAATACCATTCTTCACAACCTTTCTTTTTCTTCTAATGATAAGATTTGGACAAGGATCTCCTGAATTACATACAGCCTTTTCCTCCATAAGCATAATGCAGCTGTTAGCTAGGAGTCAGCACTGATGTGATGCAGGCTCACAGTTCGTATTCAGTTTCCACTCTGTCACAATTTTTGTTTTGTCTTCAAATTAATTCAAAATCTAGTGAAAGATTACACTGTTTTTTGTTCTTAATGCTTTTTACTCTGGGGCATATAAATGCTAGCCAGACGTGGGCTCTACTAGAGTTGTACTCCAGCCGCTCCTGTTTGTTTTCAGTATTCTAGCAAACTGTTAGAAGACCAGTGTAATTTGCCTCATTGCTCACTCATTATGTTTCTTACTAGTCATTTATTTCATGTGTTACACACTGTATTTGTTTGCTTCCCATTTGTAGCAATAAGGTTTTTTTATTTCTAGGATGTTTGGGAAATCTCATCTGTGGTGTATTATTTGGGCATTATACTGTTCACTAAAGATTTTTACCAAATGTTTAGTACTCAGCAATGTTTTTTATTTAAATCACTTTTTTACTCTGCTCTTTGTTCAGTGTAGTTTCAGTTTGTTTTAAGAGTGAAACTCGACACCATCAGTGTTGTCAGGGCATATTTTGTGTGTATGGTTGTTATTATTGTTCATTTTTATTTGATCTTTTATATTGGTTTGGATTTTTTTTTCTCTTACTATGAGGAAATCAGCCTTTAAAAAAAAAAAAGAAAAGAAAAAGCTGGTGGTTGTGATACACACCTTTAATCTCAGTACCGGGGTCACAAGGGTAGGCAGAATCTGAGTTTGAGGCCAGCCTGGTCTACAGAGCAGGTTCCAGGGCACACAGAGAAACCCTGTCTTGGGAGAAAAGACAAGAACAACAAATATTTCTCCCTGTTTTGTTTTCTTGCCTCAGTTTTCCAAGCTCTGGTATTACAGATTTGTACTAAAATGACCAGACTTTTTTTTCTCTTAAATGGCCTTTATATATCATTAACTGCAAAAATCTGGAATTTGAAGTTTACAGGTAGATTACTAGATTGCGAAAATGTCATTTTAAAGAATATATTCTTACGCTCATATAGAATTGAAATCTCTTAAGTCTATGTTACTATTTGTATTTATGTTTATGATTTGATGGGAAATAAAATATTGTTTTGGACTTGTTTTTATATAGTTTCCTATAGTTTATATTATTTCTCTGCAGGGGTTAGGGTAGAAAAGGGCCTTATTAAAACTAATAAATTATTTATTGAAATAAAATGAACTGAAATTATGTAATTCTTAAATTTATTTTTATAGTTTGAGTTTTATATATAGATATAATGAATTTTAGTTTTTCATCTTTCTCTTGCCTCTGATTCCTTCCCTTGCTCTCTGAAACCCTTTTGCCAGTGAGTGTGTGTGTGTGTTCCCACAGAGTTTAATTAGGAGGCTTGTATAGCATGGGTGGGAGGCTATTTACTGGAGTGTAGGCAACTTTAACCACTGGAAAAATGGCACCCTTGTCCCCCAGCACCTGTTAACTGCCAGCAGTCCCTCAGGTGTTGTGGGCCTTGTTGAAATTTGTCTTGTGAAGGTAACCACTACTGAAGTGAGGTGAGAGTCCAGTGATTCTGTCATGTCCTCAAGACTTCTTTTGCAGCATATCTCCCCACTCCGGCTCTAACATTCTTTTTATCCCTTCTTCTTTAAGCCTTGGAGGGTCTTTCTGGATTTTTAAGGCATAGATAAATTTGGCAAGAATTATTTATTATCTAGCCAAGTCAGTTATTTAATTCTACATTTTATTTAGTAATACTTTGATTCTTTACTTAATTTCTTTTGAGTTTTCAAGGTGCCAACATAGAATATGGTTACTTTAATAGGTTTTCTTGAATTATCTACATAGAAATGAACCCAATAGTTCTGCTTAACTTGATTTTCTTTTTGTTTAGTGTTTATACTAGATAAAATAGAGCTCACACATGTTGTTGTGAGAGTTTCTGTGAGTCATCTGAGGGATAAGTACTCAGAGGTAGGAAATTTAAAGGCATTCTGTTTCATTTACATAATACAGACTTCTAAGTATTGATTTTATCTTCTTAGGTAGAACTAAAGTTTCCTGCACCAGGCAAGCCTGGAAATTATCAGTATACAGTGTTTCTGAGATCAGACTCCTATATGGGTTTGGATCAGATTAAACCACTGAAGGTAAGAATACTAATGAAAAACAAATAAAATTACTGAAGATGTGAGTCTGGTAACCCCTAGCAAAGCCTGAGGAAGGTGTGGGAAGCATTTCCAGTTTTGAGATGCAGAGTGGGCGGAAGGAAAAAGTGGTCATCTCAGGTGCTTTCAGTATTAGATTTTTAAGGAGCTTTGAACCTCGACTTTAATTTGCTTTAGTAGGGTTTTTTTTAAAAAAATATTTATTTATTATGTATACAATATTCTGTCTGCATGTATGCCTGAAAACCAGAAGAGGGCACCAGACCTCATTACAGATGGTTGTGAGCCACCATGTGGTTGCTGGGAATTGAACTCAGGACCTTTGGAAGAGCAGGCGATGCTCTTAACGTTAACTCTGAGCCATCTCTCCAGCCCTAGTAGCATTTTTTTTTTTAATGTGTTATATTATGTGGTACTTTTCAGGGCTTTATCAAATGTGTTCTGTTTTCTTTAAAAAGTTTGGAGACAGTGGGGAGCAGAACTCAGATTTTTACCACAGACTTATGGTGTGTTTATTGATTTCTAAAATGAAGGGTTTGTTTGTTTGTGTTTTTAATCATCTTACAGCATAAATTTTGTGTGTGGCTTGATGCTCACTTAGTGTTCATTTCCCTTGAGCTTTTCACCCAAAGAGTTCTATTACATTAGTGAGATTGAGCAAAATCTTGTTACACTGGTAAAGGAGCCAGTAAAGGAGAGTCTGTTTCCTGCATCGGCCCTGGGATCTTACTGCACAACTAATCTTGAAGCATACTTGAATTTTTCTTCCTTCAGCCAAAGACTAATAAGATAACCACTCGGCACTGGTGCATAGGAAACATGACTGTTAGTACTTTGTGCCAGAGAAGTACAGTCTTAAATGGTTCAACATCTACAGGGTCAAAATACCAGATTATATTAGAAATTCTTCTCCATTCCTGTATAAGTAGGCTTAGTATTTTCATTTGTAGAATGAAGTGTCTTTTAAATGTGCTGAATTTAGAGTTGTGCCACAGAACCCATTTCTTTGTGACTTGCTATGATTAAAGAAAACCTTTACCAGGCATTTCTTCCGTTACTTCTTTCCAAATTTCTAACATACATTTAATTCTTCTTTATAGTTGGAAGTTCATGAAGCCAAGCCTGTGCCAGAAAACCATCCCCAGTGGGATACAGCAATAGAAGGTGACGAAGACCAGGAAGACAGTGAGGGATTTGAAGATAGCTTTGAGGAAGAAGAGGAAGAAGAGGAAGGTGATGACTAAACACTGTATGCGTGGACCACAGCATTTGCACATATTTGCAAACATCTGCTGCTTTGTAAATTACAGTAAAGCAGAAGCAGTGTGAACTGATGTGGAGGGAAGTGTTGGCATCTTTACTAGAAATGGATACGTAAAATAGGCGCTTGGTGATGCCGTGATACATCTGAAAGGGGGTTATTTAAAGCCTTTCAGGTATGGGGTGGTGCATTTATATCATCTGAAAATGATAATAAATCCTTTGTTTTACAACTGTCCAGAAGTGTGGGCTGTGCATTACCTATCAGTTTACGGTCTCAGTCAGAGGACATGAAAAACAGTCTTTGTTCAGCTTTAGTTTAGTAAACATTAAACTATGATAAACATCACATATATGTTTTAAGTAACATCTGCTCAATTTTTTTAATCTGGTAATAAGCCATTATTCATTTATCAATATTTTACAAATGGTAAGATTATAACAGTTCCATACATGAGTTCAAACTTTATTTTCATCTATCTTGGCCATAACTTAGCATTCTCACACATTCCACACAATACAGAGGGCTACATTTTAGAATTTTCCGTTCTTAATTGCCCAGAGCTAGCAGACATTACAAAAGTGACTTTTATCGGCTTAAGGCCTCTTAAAGCCTCAGTTGGTGTCTGCGCAAGATCTCATTCTTCTGATAAGCTCAGGTCTGAAAGGGATTGCGGGACCACACATTCTCTGATGCTTGGGTCATGTTATCCAGTCTTTTGCAAAGGGTCACTATAAAAGCTGGACCACATTCTTAGCTCTTAATCTACCTGACTAGCAGAAGCCTTTTAAAGAAAATAATTACCGCATACAAAGGAGACATTTTTTGTATTCATTTTGGACTCCTGTTAATAAAATAGAAGTTTGACTCATTTTATGTTTGTAATTGTGTTTGTCTTTTTACTCCTAGAGAAAGGGCATAAATAGGCTAATCTTTTATTTTTTCAACTAAAAGTTTAATATTGTACCTCACTGTAGAAGTGACTGCTATTTCTGTATACTCTTGGAAAACCCAGGAGGAAGAGCTGTTCTCTCATTTAGTACAATCTACAGGGCAGTCTCAACGCAGAGTAATGTGTGTGTGATGAGTCACTGAGGTAAGAGGAATATTTTTATTACTAGATACCGAGGACACAAGTCTACAATACTCTAAGACTGATTGCAATAATCCTGTCAAACTCTCCATAGGCCAAAGTACTGTTGCAATACTAACGACCTTGTTTATTTAAAAGGTTGCTACTCTTCATGCAGAATTATTACTGGTATTTTGTTACTACAGTAGTTGGAAATAAAATTTGAAGATTACCAAAAATATGATTTTTTTTGTTGTTGTTCTAAATTTAAGATGTAACACTTAACAGTTGAAGTTGTCATCAGACCCTTGCTCACTAGTTGAATGAGGCCCTCCCTTCCTGTGCTACTGAGGGCTTGAGTCATTTGTTTCGTTTTTATGTAGTGGGTGGGTTTCCCTTTTCAATCAGATCTTACTGGGAAGCTCCACTGCTGGTTGTAGCGACTAGACATGCAATTGTGAAGGAGTGAAGCAGCTTGTTCAGGTGAAAGGAGAGAGGCTAGAGCAAACTGGGCAAGCAGAATTGTAGTATTTGCACTTCCTAGCTTTGCTGAAGTAGATGGCTCAAGAAAAGTCTCCTCTAGTGGCTGTTTTCCAGAGCTTATTCAGACAACTGGCTTCTCTGGTTTGAGAGTCTCTGGTGAGAATTTTACAACCCGTTAACAGCACCATGTTTACAAAAACAGCATGTCTTCCATGATTGGAAATCCCAACAATTTGTCTATTTTGTGATATGTATCAACACCGCAACCTAAGGAACCAGTTCTCCTCTAAGTACCTTAGGTGAAGGCCTCAGTTAGGGTTCTCATCTCTACTCAGTCACCAGACTCCACATCCCTTCTTTCTCCACAGTGGGATTAATGATATGTCCTGGTTTGTTTCTGGTTGAAAGTTGTGAGTGATGCTGTTTTTACTCTTATTCAAAATACTGACATTCTGTCAATAGAATAAATAAATATATAAATGAAAACACAGTGTGTACATACAGAATGACATTGATTATATGTGAAATTAAGTTATTTACATTGTGTGATATTTTTAATCTCTAAATTTGCAGAGTATCCATCAAAGTACAGCCTTCCACAAGGAGACTTAACTACCAATTGAAAGTGTGGCAGGTGCAAAGGTTAGCATTGTAAGACCTGACTGAGGCCTCAGACTCAAAATTAGTTAGATGTTTATGTTCTTTAAAATTTTGTGATATTTGAAAAGAATCGCACATTGAATGAGATTCTGCACATAGACCAGTCTCTTGTTTTCTGCTCTGCACCGAGGGGTGGAGAAGGACAGGGTGTCTGCTGGGAAGCTCAGCCCTAGAGGAGGTGTAGGAGTAGCATGCCAACCCCCCAATGTGGAACTAGGGAGTTGCATGTTAGGAATGTATTGAGGCTTTCTTAGCATGTTCTGGTTTTGTTTTTGTGCTTTTGAGACAGAGCCTCAACATATAGCCTAGGCTGGCCTTGAACTCACATTGTAGCCCAGGCTGTGGACTTTGTGATCCTTCAGCCTCAGCCTCTTGAGTGAGTGATAGGTTACAGGCAAGAGCCACCACACCTACTGAACACATTTACTACATTTATTCAGGTATCTGCTCCAGCTAGCTCCTACCATACACTGGAGTTTTGTTTAGTAATTATCTGTATTTCAAATGCACTTCGGTACCCTACGTGTTTTTGAGGGATTGTTTATCATATATTTACTGAGTTTCCATGCCCAGGCGCTGTGACTTAGGCACTGTAGCTATGTGGACCCTCTTTGTGTTAAGAACTTACTTGGATTGGGTCAGCACATGGATGGGAATTTCATTTTAATCTTTTTCCTTTGGCACAGTGGCCAGTATTTAGAATGCCCCATCCCCCACATCTTTTCACTAGGCAGAGGAATTATTGTTATTATTTTAGGGACTAGCTGTTGGGTTAGTTGACCTTTGTCCATCCCCTTATCCTCTTTGGATAAACCAAGACTTGTCCTTTGTTTTTAAATGCTTCTTTTTTGAAGCATCTTCTCAACTCTGTGAATCCCCTATTTAGTCTGCCTTAAAGTGAAACAACCATTGGTGAACTGGAGCATGACATTTACCAACTGTGCAGTGATTAGTTCAAATATGTCCCAAGAAGTTAGCATCATCATACACTTAAACTTGACACTAGAGCTATTTACAGACCTTCACAAACAAAAATAGATGTGATCTTGTACATTTTCCTGTAACTGAGCTAAAAATCCAAATAGCAATCATGGGCATGCTTTAGGACTGGTTTCAGGCAGGTGTGTACATCCCAGGGTTATGCAGATAATAAGTCCATTGAGAAAATGTTAAAATGATGATTCTTTGTATTTAATCTCATCCTTTTAAATTTCTATTTTTGTGTGTTTTATAATGTACATAATATATTGTACAGTTGTACACTTATATAATTTATAAATAAATAGTACATTTATTGGTGCATTATATTTTTTTTTCTCATTTGGGTGTATGACAAAAACATCTGGATACTACTGTTTTGTGGTATAGATAGGGTGAAGGTTGGGGCTGTTGGCACTGTGCCGTTTGAGATGACAGTGACAATACTCTGATACCATCAGGCAAGGTTGCATTTGCTGTGTCCAGATCTACTGCTGCTCCCAAGAGCAAAGATGATGGATGCTTCTTGCAGTGGAGTGATGGGGGTGGGGGGACACTGTAGCTTTTATGAGCTGGGCAGTCAGTAGCTCCTGCAAATTAGAGGCTGGTGTGGGAAGGACCATCCCTCCAGCACAAAATGAACCCAAACCATGCTTAATGGTAGCACTGGCTACCACTTAGGGCTGAGCAAATTGTAAACGGCTGTATTTTCCAGCCTGGCTCCAGTAGAAGGCGACAGGACCATAATTAATTCTCTTTAAAGAATGGTGGGACTAAACCAAAACCTCAAATATGAAAAAGAAAAAAAAAATTTTTTTTTTTTTTAAATAGGCTATTACATGTTTTCAGCCATGCCTCAAATTCCTGGACTCAAAATCCTCCTCGAGTCTCTGGGACTGCTGTGCCCAGTTAAAAATGTTTTCTGGATTATCTGCACCTCCTAGAATTACCTCCTTCTTTCTCTTCAAACTTCTGTATCCACTTCTTACCAACCTTTGTCTCCTTACCTGTGTACTTCACTATGTTAAATATGCATCTGGTTGGAAGGTAAACCCATTTGTAGCAAATGCCAAGAGACAGTCTGCTGTGAATCCAGTGTGCTAGAACTACAGAATACCACTTGAAAGAAGTGGCAGTCAGGTAAGAGGATGCTTTTCATACAATTTTGTTTTTTGTATGGTTTCAGCTGTGAAGTGTCTGTTGTTTTCTCTTTGTGCAAGCTAATCTACCATATTGTTGGGAGCGCTGGCTCAGGTTCCCAGGTCAGGTACAGCATTACCTTTGTGTCACCCACACTGCTCCTGTCCTCTAAGTTTCACATGGGCAGTGCCAGGTGGCTCAAGTAGACATGCATGTCAACGGAGGAACTTTGAGTTTGGGGATCTAGCCCTTTAAAAAGGTGGGTGACAAACCTGTTCACTCTTTACTGTTGTAACAGCAAACATGCCCTCTGCATGAGGGAAATGATGCCTGTCTTCCATGACTGTTGTCTGGGCACACGTCTGTGAGAAGGCAGTAAGGAGCCAAAGTGTGTGTGTGTGTGTGTGTGTGTGTGTGTGCACTCACTAGTGTGCAGAAAGGTAAGAAACAAATGGGCAGTGGCTTTCTAGCACATCAAATTTTGTATGCACAGAGAATATTGCACCAAGAGGCCTAGGACACTTACTCTCAGGGGAATAAGTTCTTAGTAAAAAAAAAAAAAATTAGACCTCTTACTTGAGAATAGTGTGTATTTAAGCCTCTTGCAAATGTTGTATCTTCCTACTAGGGATAGTTTTGTTTCAATTTGAAGATAATTCACTTATATGCAACTACAAAAATATCCAGAACTTTCTAAATTGAATTCAGTCTGTTACAATAGGAAAGGGGTGTCTGAAAAGTGAGCATTATATCTGTTGTATATGGTAGCCATGATCCCTAGGAGCTCCTGCCCCACCTACCCACCCCTGCCTGAAAGCCTGAGTCTATTATGATGGAAATTATAAGGATTAATGTGATTCTCTGAGAAGAGCTTTGGAGAATGGGGACGAGTCTGTAGTGTTTA